GTTTGTTAATCCTCGCCGAGACGATTATCATTATAGACACTTTGCAGTTCACCAAAATACGAGTCAATCCTTTCTTTTCCTTTCTGTCTTTTAAAAACGAAAATTTAGCTTAAAATAAACAGTGATGATCACTTAGGAAACTGGATAAGCAAACAAAAGTATAAAATGAAGAGAATCTTAGAAAAACTTTTGCAACCAGTTGATAAAGACAGGTAAGTTTAATCGATAAATGGATGCAAGAATTTTATTTTGTCACCTAGCTGGACTTATAGACATATATCACTGTGTTAGCACATATTTGACATACAAACCCAAGGCAGAATAAACAATACTTTGTGTAACATGCACTGAGAATTAGTACAACTAAAAATCACTGCTTTGCATGCAATCTGGCAGCTTAATTTCGTTGCCTTTTCTTGTCTAGGGCTTTGTGTTGACGATTTCGCTGCTCTAGGGTACTACTCAAATCCAGCGAACAAAATGGGTGAGCGGAATTGCTTTCAAAGCAAGGTCTTATAGATTCAAGTTATTCAAAGTCTTATAGATTAAAGTTATGCTGTGCAATGAGAGCTGGCCTTTCCTTAACAGTCTTTGATTGCTAGGTGTTACAACTGGATTGTTACAGCCACCTTTCTTTGATGCATCCCGTCCAATGTAAGTCTTCATTTCAGTTCTGTTTTTAAATTTTCTGACAACTTAGATTCTTCTCGAAATATTCGAAAATAATCTGTAAGAACTATGTAACTATATATATGTTTGAGAGAATGGAAATCTTTTCAATTAAGACTATTAAACAGTCAGTGGTCACACATTGAGCTCATTTTACTTACAAATCAGCCTCTAAGTACAAAATTTGAAAATTTTCCCGTACCAGGTCTTTGAACTATGGAGGAGTAGGCATGATCATTGGCCACGAAATTACTCACAGCGTTGACGTTGATGGTAAAAAGCACAGTCTCTTTTGGTTTTGCAATAATAACATTTGATCAAGAGTCTAAGAGAATAGTTTCAATGTGTAGGTCGGACTTTTGACGAGAATGGAAATCTTTACGATTGGTGGACAAATTCTTCGTCGATGGAATTCCAAAAGAGAACAGCGTGTCTTGCGAAACAATATTCACAATATTCATACCAGGGTACTAAGGTACACGAGGTTTCGTCAATGTTAGGTCCCATCTACCATAAAATATTTATTCGTAAGTCCAAGGCTTAGTTCAAAGGCCATATGTCTGCCCTGGGATTAGTAGAGAATAGGTATTGAGCTGAAATTCGTCACCAACCAATCTGTTTAATGGTCGACAGTGAACCTCAGACTCATCAATAAAATTGATGGTGAAATATTACCCCGGATTCTAACATTTGAAGCACAAGATAACTCGTCACTTATGCTTGGCCTATTTCCCCTTTTTAAAAGTTGAATATTAAAAGTGCCATGGACGAAGTCATTTCAGATAATGGTGGAATTAAACAAGCGTTCCAGGTATAAAAATTGAAAATTAGATGAAAGTTCATGTGCCACCAAAATCGGTAACTTGCAATGAGTGTATTTTCTATCCGCAGGCGTACCAGAAGTGGAATAAAAAGCACAATGAGACTGAACTTCCAGCGTTAAACCTAACAAACAATCAACTCTTTTTCATTGGATCGGCACAGGTATTTATTTATAGTGTTAAAATACCGTTCTTGAAATTTTGTTTCGTCTTACCTTGACACAAGTTTGTTGCAATTAGATAATGTGCTCGAAATATCAACCTCAATCAAAACCATGGGAAAAACACCCCCCTGGGATGATCAGGTAATTTTGAAACTATGAAAGTTCTGCATCAATCCCCCACACCCCCCTCCCGACCAGTATGGGATCCCAGAATTTCAACGTAATGTTTTCCTTACAGAGTGATTGGTATGTTATCAAATTACCCAGAGTTCTCGAAGGCATTCAAATGCCCAATTGGGTCCCGAATGAACCCGAAGTCAAAGTGCAGTGTTTGGTAATAAAATTTCAACAGTCTATCAGACTACTAGTTAGGTCATATTACATACCTTTTTATCTAACATAATTTACCCCGTTTTATTATTGCTAGGAAATCGATTTATAGACATATATTCAAACTCGATTTAATTTGTAAAATTCAGTGTTTTGTGACTCGGTAAGAGGGATTCTAGGTGCTGTAGACGGTGCTCTTTTGTGTGTTAAAGTAGTTCAATTTTTAGCTTGATTAGCTTAGGTACTTTACAGGATAGCTCAAGTATTTTATAGGATAGTTGTATATCTATATCCATAGGTGTACCGAACTTCTACTTTCGCAAAGTAATAGGCTTGCAGGTGTGAGAAATGGTCCGTCAGATTTACGGCTTTATTGTCGAATCTTTGTAAATATTTGTGTAAAACGTGCTAAATTGTAAGTCGCTAAAGTATTATTGAACTGACGACTGCCTAAAATATGCTATTGATTATTACATTAAACCCTAGAACTCATGTCGTAGGGCTGATCTGTGTTTTCAACTGGAATACTGCCTCGTCTCTGCTCTGTGAAATTTCTTTCATGGAACATGTTTCTTCTCACTGTAAAAAGGCCCTCGATTAGTTACTTAGTCAAATTGTCACCATGCAAGCTGATCGAGTAGGGCTCGTATCCATGACTTTTTTTCTTACTCGATATCATATCGCGCGGTTGCATGGCTCTGGGGACGAGGATGTACTTAACGTAAAAAACAATCATTTAAAAGGAGATGAATACATTAACTAACTTAGTACCTATTTGAATCGCTACAAATGTAGCCAGCGCTAATGGGATTATAAAGGAGAGAGAGATCTGTTTGAGAATCCAGAAACAAAATCCCTCTATGAGCATAATCAGTGCGCATGTCAGCAGAAACACGACCATAGTATCCAATCTCCCACATTGCTGGCACGCGTTCATGATACACGGGGAGGCATTAACGCTGAAATGAAATGAAAGATTATTAGTTGAGTTAAATCACTTTTTCGAGGCAACAGTTGTAACAGTTTATCTGTTGAATCTTCCATTGCCAAGAATAGCTATAATTAAGACCATTACAAACGTTTAAAATAGTTTATCAGAAAAGATGAAAAGATCAATAATGATTGATTAATACAAAATCGATTTTCATTTTTTTTTCGCTGTAAATTTCAACTTCAAAGCAGATTTTCCCCTACAGTGCGACTGGGCTAGAAATCTACAATATGTGAACTTTTCTGGTCACGGAAATACAAGTCTATAGAGTGAATACTATTGTCTGCCATGCATGATTTTAATAAAATAAACACTAAACATGACTTAAGAGTCCCGATTTATTCACTAAACTTCATACTTCATAAACTGAAACTACGGAATAATATACGCGATACCTTCTAAACGCATCGAAAATGAGCCCCAAAAGCAGGAATGATAACCCTTTGACCATTTTAACAGGAAACGCAGAAGTATATTGTATCCAAATAAGTCTTGCTTTGTCTTATAAACCAAAACATAACATGTTTGCTGAATTTGCAGGATTTTGCGATTTTCTGGTCCTAGCAATTTTCCGGTTTCTAAATTTAGTCAGAGAAGGCTATAAAAAGACCAATCTTTTTATAGCCCTTTTGCTAAAAATAGCACAGGTCACTGTAGGTCGTTTTTCGTGACGTCAGGCAAGAAATTTTGTGTTCAAGATATTAAAAGCCGCTCTGTTTGACTCTGTTGCCATGAAGGCATGAATATCAATTTAATCGGGGAAGGACAGTAAAGTGTGTTTTGTCATGCAATGAAAGGTGCTTTGTGACTATGTTCATCTTTACGCGAGGTTTATAGAAGCCTCTCATGTTTCTTGCCAAGATTTCTACCACCTGACATCCTTTCTTCGCACGTCTTCCTTCAAACTTATCTTAAAATTATCATGATATGTGCTGTAGTTTTAAAATAGCAAACACTTGTTTTGATCATTTCCGGGCAGGCTGGCAGCGTGAATTTAACGCGGGGTTTAACGCGGCCTTACCCGGGGCTGCCAAATTACTTTTTCAGGACTGGCGAGATTGCAGGACCATAAAGAATATCGCCGGTCAACATGAGTTACAAAGTTCACTATAAATCAGAAACACTGTTTTGTGGCCAGAAAATATTATCGCGTATCTTAAAATTCAGCCTGTAGAAACAGCCTTCAGGGTAGATAACTAAAGTGCTAAGTTGCTAACCTCGACTACGAGTACACTCTGACTCAGTACAGCGTTATTAATTTGTTCAAAGAATTTCCATTCATGTATGTTTAATATTTCGTGCTTTACCTCGTCAATTCTTTTTGCAGCAGACCATAGCCTTCGTAGGCAAAAAATTATATCAGTTGAACATGTAAACAACGAAAAAATATATGTAATAAAATAAACCTATACTCCGTCAAATGGAATCGCGATAAATGACCTCTCTAATGCATACGAAAAAGAATAACCGCGATAAGGAATGAAAACAATTCTGCGAATGTCTTTCTTTGACATTTATGACTATTTTTCAAAGACCGCAAACTACTTGTTTTTACTCGGTAATAAAATATATATGGGAACAGCTGCTTCGGTGTCTTGTTTGATTCATAAGATATAATATATATGCGCATAAATTCATAATGCTATGTCATTCTGATAATTGACAATATCAGTTATATGCTAAATTGAAATCCATTCGCATCTTGCCATAGATCCGGCTGAATCCTGATAGTTTTTGAAAAAAAAGGCAGTTTATTTTGCATCCACCTGTGTGTTCTCTGCAGGCGAAACAAGTATCTTCCATAATTTCATTTCTAACTATTTCTAGTTGTTAATTGCTCAAACAAGTAAACGGAAGTCGGAATGGGATATCTTAATTCCTAACATCTTCATTGTTTGGAGTTTGGACCACAGTGGTAGAACTAAACATCCGTTTAGACAATTTTGAGAGATGGGAAATAAAAACGACAATTTTTATATTCGTGTCCAGGCCACCGGTTTTTTGGCCGTCGTTTTGGTGCGAATTTCAAGATGGCGACCAAAACAAGTTTCTTGTTTATAGGTGCTTGGTTACTGTAAAATATTGAAAATACCTTTAACCTGTAAGTTTGATGATTTTAAATCGGCTTTAAAGTTTAAAACAGCACCTTGACAGCTAGTTACAAGATGGACGCGGTGATCGGAGTAGAACCACAGCTTAATGCTATCGTTAAACAGGTCTGTTTTATATAAATACCGACTTAAAATACTGTTTGTAAATTTGATTCACAAAGTATGTGATGAAATTGATAACCGATTGTGTTAGTGTATTAATGAAATCGGACTGATCTTGGTTATCAAATAATACCTTTTTTTCCCTCTTTAGTATATGGAATACATGAATTATGTCTCAGCGGCAGAAGCTTTTGAGGAAGAGTTGTCGTCCGTAGGAAAATCTGCTTCAAGTCCAGTAACCTCCATTCACGGTGACCGAAAAAAGGATGTGGGGGTATTGAAGTTTGTGTTATTATATATTCAATTGTGAATACTTCCCTAACGTTATTTTTCACTCCGATTTTGACCGTAAAGGCAGACTGGAAAGTTTGCAAAATGTGCAAAGGAGGCTAACCTTTCGCAAAAATATGTGCATATGAAATTTTGAAAATTGCGCAGATAAAAAATTTTTCAGGTTTGGTCAGCGCACAAAAAACGACCACAACATGGCTCTTAATCTGCATGCTAATGGCACACAGTGGCAAATATACTATCATACACTTTTAAATCATATCCAGCTGTTATTAACTTATTATTATATAGGTTGTAATGAATTGCTGCGCATATGCGCTCAGTTTCGTAAAATGCGCAGATGCAAACGACCGAGGGTTTAAAGTGCGCAAAGGAGAAATCCTTTGCGCAGTACAAACTTTCCAGTCTGGCGTAAAGCCGCTATAATTTAAATTGTACATGGAACTGCTGTCTTTTATAAATTTTCTTGTTTCGTGGTAATGAAATGATGATATGCCTTTGCTGCAGGAATCACTGTTGAGTTGTTTCGCAAGTGGAAACTACCAACATTTCTTTAAGTTGTGGACAGCAAATATCTCGTCCAAAACGCTGCATGAAGATGTTGAGTGTCGGAAACTGGAGTTCAATTTACGTCTATATTTTGCAGTTTTTCCATTGGTTAATAATATGGACAAAATGGTATGTTCCTCCTGAGATTTAAGAAAAACTAACCATTAGACCTTTCATTAGGTTTAATACAGTTTCATATGTTTTACCTGCCGTAGAATAGTCCAGTAATTTGAGTAAACACGTTTCGCGAAATAAATTGCTATGGCATTAAACGTTTCTGGCTGTACTTGTTTCAGTTCACAATTATGTTTCTTGACAGTTTGTATGTTTCTTCTTAGGAAATAGAAAGAAGGAAAAAGCATTTTAAAACATATTTAGAAACAACTGGATCTTCTCTTAGTCAATCTGAAGAATTTCTTCCATATTATGCATTACCATTCATTCCAGATGTTATGAAACACCCATCATTTAAACCTCTTTTCACTGTAAGCAATGCCATTTTTAGTGTATTTGATTTTATCAGCTATTTCCCCTGAATTTCAGCTAATATTTGACTTGACTTGTACATGCCCAGTCTCTTGAATAGGAAAAACTATGATTGCAGGTTGGAAAGTTTAAGGCTAAAATTTCAAGCAATCTCCTTTCATAGTTCCCACTATCCATCCAATGTTTGCCACACTGATCTATATATATTATGATGTATAATTACAATATCAATGACTGGGAACAGTTCAGCTGCTGGAAGATTGCATATTGTCATCTCATAATGCAGTTATTCTCCCTCGTGTTTTCCCCTTTATCCAAATTCATATTAATCATAATATATTAAATCATATAACTTGACCATTCTGTTAGGATTCCTGGAGAAATGACCTCCAAAAACAGCTAAAAGATTTTTTGTCAGAGCAGTTGAAATCTGACGAGAAACCAGAGCTTTATAATCTATATGTATCCTTCAATTTAAAAAAAATTAAATTATACCATTCATTCTGGAAAACGATGAAAAATAATAGACAGTTCAAGGCACAAATTGCGTGGTTCTCAAACATGTAGTAATCATATATTTTGTACAAAGTTTTCTTTAACTGTGTGTGTAGAAAGCACGACCAGCGATTATCGAAAAAGGTGAGTAGAGGATAAAATAATAGACGGAAATATTTCGGTGAATACAAAAACTCACGTAATTGCCGGCACTTTTCCGTAATTGATAGTTTCGCATAAAAATTTGTCCCAAATTTGATCGTATTTTTAGAACGTCAGCAATATAACGACCATATCAAAGTTTTGAAAAACCAGCTCGCCGAGGCGGAAACCAAATTGATGAGTTACTTTAAAAAGTTTAGCCAAATACAGGTATGGTTTGTCGACTAATCTCATGATAGGAAACGGATTAATTTATCCGTCGGGTGGGATGGGAAAATTCTTAGCATTTTTCAATGTTATTTCAAGGGAGACTATCATAAGCTAATTGGTATTGCGGCTGAATTAGTCGACTCGTTGGAGGATACAATTCGGGGTAAATTGGTACGTTTAGTAAAATTGTACATTCTATAAATGCTGCTCATGTGCTCAGTTCGGCCTCGTAGCCAGACGCCTTATCGGAAAACAGAGAAGGTTGCATTCAGGTACTATATAGATATCAGTGGCTATGAATATCGTGGTTGCTTAGGGATGGGGTAGTAGCGCACTGCTTGGGATGGGGGCTTACTTTTCTCAGGTACATTGTGTTGTGGAGACTAGTTGTGCCGGTTATCGGAGACAAAGTCAAAATGGCTGAAATATTGTTTCAGATTTCTTCAGAGTATATTCAAGATCTCTGCGCCCGGCTGTTCAACGCTCCTATGCAGCAATCATTGGACATTAACAAGCCAGGAATGGTAAAATCATATTTCTATTTCAACGAAATGAAACACTAAGAGGTACATTTTACTGAGGCGTATTACAATTTGTTTCGTTTGTAGACTTCCAATATGCTGCGAGCCTCGATTGCCCAAACTAGTCTAAGGTAAACAACAACAACCTGGCCCTGGGGGAGATTTTATCAAATCTCTATTAAATTTTTGGTAAATTTGTCAGTGTGAAAACACTCGATCATCCTCATTTCTTCTCATCTCAGCGGTATGGACAACTTAAATCATCAACCGTTGGACTTTGAAAAAATCAAAAACGACTTGACGAATTTACCGGAACGAAAGAAGGCATTTTTACTGCAAGCTTTGAGATGGGTTGGTGTAGACACTTGAAATTATGTTTGAACTGTTCTGACAGCAAATGTTTTGAATTCAGAAGCTGCCTATACCTAAAACGTTTCACAACTGAGATGAATGATATTTTTCCTTTGTCTAGCGACTTACTCGCAGCCCAGGAGAGGAACTAAGACACTCAACAATGAGAGCCTACATTGGCAATGATTTGCTTGGTTGTGCTTTTCGTGGAGAGTACCAGGTAAAATTATTTTGCTGTTACTTGCCAAAGGACCGCGCAACTGCACGTGCTAAACGAGCTAAAATTCAATGATTTCTCGTTTATTGGCATCGACAGAAAAGGTTTTGAGTGTGTCCCAATAGTTTTTAAGCGTGTACCGACCTTCACAAACGATGTCGAAACTCGCCGTAGACAAAGATATGGTATTTTACTACATTTGTTTTGTTTTCAGGACACATTAATTGAGTTTCTTCAGTCCTCCAGCGCGGTCGTGTGTCAGTATTTTGCAGGGTTGTTAAATACCATGGCATCAATGTCTGCCGGTGGGTGAAAATTAAAAAATATAAACAAACTCCCGTCAGTTCTACCCAGCTGCACTTTAAGCTCAGAGCATTGCTATGTATATTGATGGGTTCAATGCATCTTTGTTGTTTAAGTTTCAATTATTTTTTTCCATACACAGGAAGAAGCTATTTATCCCAAAGCGTCAAGTTAGTCGAAGCTTTGCAGAAGACTTTGACAACTGAGCCAAAAAATTCGCTCACGAGTGAAAATATTCTTGGATGTCTGCAGAAACTGAGTTTGAGGTAAGGGCGGATCTGATCTCATAATAAACTGGATTTGTCATAAAAGACCTCCGACCCGTATTCAAGTTTTACTCAATCCATGAATAATAAAATCACTTTTAACTATCCATGCTCAATCATAGGCGTTCATCACATGCCCCAACATTCGTAGAGGAATTGCTCAACTTCAACACGTCCTCGTTATTTATTACTTTAGACGTCATCTTCAAACACAGATGATTGAAAGTGACCTCGTTTCCTGGCTAATTGATGCTTTAGAGGACCATGATTCACTTTCGGATTACACTTTAGAGTATTCTGTCGCTTTGCTGATGAATTTGTGCCTGAGGACGTCCGGTAATTTACTGTATTTCACTGCGAAAATTGACTTTTTAACTCCATTCAGCAGCAAGACAAGAAAATGTATTTATTCCGTAATTTAGGAAAGCAGAAGTGTTCAGATGATGCCAGCCATATTTTAAGAGTTTTAAGTGACCTTTTGGGCCACGAAAACCAGGAGGTATTAATTCTTTGATTTGTTAATAATTCGGACTTTATCAACTCATTTAATCTTTTATACCTGCGGTTATCTTGCAAACAACTTGTGTTTTTTTCCATTGCTTATATATAGATCCGCCCCTACGTAAATGGATCACTTTACAGCATCTTGGCGCTGCCACATGTTCGAGAAGACGCCAGAGAGATGGTAAATATCTTCTAGTCTCTTTCACACCTTGTTCAGGTGATCCAATGTTAGTTTTAGATGCGGGAAACTTCGTACTGTAGTTTGACAAGCTGTGTTCAATTTTGAGGGGATGCAAGAAATTCTGGAGTGTTTTCTTAAAGACGAAGACGTTGACATGCAAAGACAAGTTCAGTTTATCATCAAGCAACTAAATCTTGGTATAAAAAACCTCCTAACAAATATTGCGGCCAAATTATGATTCAAATGTCCAAGTCAGGCGAATTATGTCACGACCAATGGCAAGTTCTCGTTGTTCTTCAGGTTCCGACGAATCTCCGATTAATTACGATGTCGATTCCGACGACGAAGATGATGACATTGACGAGGTAAAGCTAGATTGCTTTAATTTTCATTCCGGGGACTACGATGGATAATATGGTTCTTTTTTCGGCTTTTTAGGAAGGTGACGCAATCGATGAAGAGCTGGATAAGCAGGAAATTCTTGAACCAGGATCCAACGAATTAGCTGGAGAGGAATTATTGGAGAGGGAATACCTGATTGTGAGTTGATGAACCTGTTAGTTGAGAATACAACAAGTGATTCTGGCGAAAGGAAGAACGAATACCAATCGTTTGATAGACCGGGACGTTCCATGTCAATTTTAGGATATTGGTAGTCCATAGCCTAATCAATTATGGTCTTTAGTAATATTTCTTTTTCTCTTCTTAGCTTCCTTCTGACTCCAATAATTTCTTGCGAAAATCGCGAAAAGTGAGTTACTTTGCGACCTGTCATATTTTATATTCATTTATTTCATCTCATTGTCACTTCTCCAATCTTGTTAGAATCACCTTCTTTTGAGCCTCGATCAGCCACTTAGTCGACCAGTAACACCAGGAAGCAGAACTGGCGACAATAAACATGGTAAGAGAAGTCGGACGACTGTAGAAAGTGCTTATGATAGACTACAATTCTTCCTCAACATATGGAAAAGGTCTATTCTTTCCCTCCCCTCCCCTCCCCCCATCTCTCCTTGAAGCTTTACACCAATCGCAATACACGAAGACTTATAGAGAGGTTACTAAAGATTTGATTGGTCATTTCCAGATAATATACCTCGACCGGCAACTAATGTTCTAGTTCAAATACCCGAAAGTATTTCGCCGCCAATGTCGAGCAGTAGACCTGGGGCTTCGTCAAAACCAGGTTCATCCAGACCAAGTTCTGCTCGGTTAAACTCTGCGAAGCCGAGCACTGCGGATCCAAACAAAAACAGACCGCGGTCAGCAAAAGGTAAAGGTTAAAGGAATCTTTCATTTACGGAGAAAGGGAAGTTAGTAAATGAGGTTGATAGAATTTTAGCTGTGAATACTGTAATTAGAATTGTGAGAACGAATGTGAAAATGGTTTATTCTATCATTACTTTTTTAAGAAATGTCCGAAAGCCACGAAGAAGCGATTAAGGTGGTAAGTGTTGTCCTAGCTTGCTTTGAATGTGCTGATGAGAATGCACCAGATGTTTTTCGTATGAATTCCAGGTTGTGTTGTTGGTTTATATGTGATATACCGGAATTTTTAGGATAAAAATTACGCGGCAGAACAGGAGGAGAAGATGGAAAGACTGTTGCAAAACAGGTGTGTGGATTTGTCTTTTTGGTCCACGTGTCTTGCAGTAACATGAAATATTTGTGCAATTTTAAAATGATCTCTGAGTTCTCACGAATGCTCGCACAAGCAGAGCTACAAGCAGGTTTTCTAGTCCGTTGCAATGTTCTCTCTAATCCTTTTAACCTAATAATGGTCTTTCTTTATTTTTTCCAGCGCTCTTACGCAAAGTGAAATATTTGGAACGAAAAACAAACTGCGTCGGTCACACGATTCACGTAATAACTCGCCAAGATCTGGACCTCAATCTATCCCACCGTTGACCCGCTCTATCTCTCCACCACCCCCCAAATCCACAAGCAGACCAGGTACGGTTCAATGCATGGCCCTGTCTGTCTCCATACAAGTACAGTATAGCATGGCATGCTTACCAGTCCCCCCCCGTCATAATACTGAATCGTCTTTAATAACATACACCTAAATTTAAATCATAGGATCAGCCAATAGGGCTCATAAGAAGAGGTGACGTCATGCAATCTGACGATTAGTGATTGGACGGTGAGTACCTGTTTGTTTCCCGATGTAATGAACGAATACGAATCACGCGATACTAAGAACACATTGAAAAAAAGTTCTCCGGGCTAAAACCGCAATCTTTAGAAATTGTTTTTAAACAGTGGCTATGAAAAGGCGATATCTCGTATATTATAATCGCATTTTATCGTTTTGAATAAATATTAAATCAAATAATCTTTTACATTTAAATTACTGTATAAAAAATAAATGTAAATATTAAATTGAAAATTATATGATATCCCTTTTCCAACACGAATGGCCAAACTTTTTTTATTCATATTATTATATTGGGTGTTCATATATCCTACAAAAATATTAAACTCACTCCGAGGTCCAAACTTCAATTCAAACATTTATTCAGTTGTTTCCCAATAGTTACGTGCGCAATAAACAACTGCACACTATGGGCAATAAACAACTCCGCATCGCTTAATTAGGGCTGGGGTGTATATTCATATATTCATGTCAGTTGTATACCGTTGGAACAATAGCGTACAAAATAAATCAGTCGGGTATGAGACGAATATATGAATCTACACGTCAATTAAGCTTCTAGCTACGAGCCTGCTTCACACATGGTGAATGGGTGATAATCATTGATCACAGAACAACCCTTACTGTCCTCAGTAGAACCGTGCATCTCTCACACTATTTATTACTACATTATTATTGCAGTTTAGATGCTATCTGTGGGGATGATCCACATTACTGTTATTAGATTGCTGTTCTCTATCCCTTGCCTCGATTTGTTTGGCTTTTTGATAGAGTACAACGCCCAGGGTCACTATCATTGTTCCCAGTCCACTGAGCCACGTCACGTGGTTCGCGAACACCACAACGGACAACCAGATAAGCAAGGTTCGTTTCACTGTGTTTGCGACACTGTAAAGAAATAGCATAATTGTGTCAAGAATATATATGTCTGGAATGTTATTACCAGATCCAATAGAAGTGCAATATTTAGCCCTAATTTAGCAATGATGGAGAGCACGTTGTCACAGAATACCTAACAGAAGTGGAACTCCTGTACTTTTTTCGTAAGTGTGATTCGTCACTTAGCAAGTGCATTTTTTTGAGGCTGTCACCCCCCTGATAATGTCCAAAATGAGCCCATTTTTAGTATTGGCAGGGGGGTGACTACGTCAAAAAAATGCACTTGCTAAGTGACGAATCATGACGAATCACACTTACGAAAAAATAGTATAGAGTTCTACTTCTGTTAGGTATTCTGTGACGTTGTGCATTGCGTTACAAAATACAAACCTGAATGTTATGGGAGATATTAGCGCCATTAAACCGTACGCCGTGACACTTTGAAGATAAAATGAAAAACTATCCAACATTAAAATTCCAACATAGAAATAATCTGGTTTCTCAAAGCTTTTTTGGAAATCCTGAAAATATTACAAGATTTAGGGCAAAGTTAGAAAACATGTACAACAGATACTGAATCTTATATTCGGAGGGCAAATCACGGCATATTTGGATATAGTATATTTCCATGTATAGTATAACCTCACGTATAGCATATTCCCACTTGGCAAGTTTGGAGATATCATAGGGTTGATCACATTAATGCATGCATCAATATCAACTATGACTTACAGTTGTGTAAACCCAATACGGTATCTGCATTAGCAGCGCTGCGGCTCCAGTGTAGAACTGGAGTTCTGGTGGGCTACAACGATAATTGAAATAATTTTCAAATCCAAGTCCAGGCCATGCTAAAGAAATCTCTCATATTTTACCTGTATGATGCTTCACCGGAAAGAAGCTTCTTGGAAAAAACATTTTGAATGCTGGAAAAAGGACGTTTAGTTCGTAAATAAACGGCAGTGTTGATGCTAAAATTTGCTTCATTTTAAAAACAGGCGAAAATAACTACTAACCAGTCCATTATGTTGTTTAATATAGCAGCAACAAAGCCGATTGTATTAAAACTAATTTCATTGGCTGAACACAGCGATAGACCAGCCATGACTGGGATAAGAGAAAACATAACTAGAAGACCAACTTTTTCCCCTGAAGAAAAAACATGCATGGTCACAGGTGAACCAACTTAAGGCCAGCCCTACCCGGGCCATGTCGCAGCTCTCGGAAGCTTTCGTCCAATTGGATAATGCTTTTCTATTCTTTCTAAAGAACGAAGCTATGCTATTGGTTGAAACAGAAATGTATTGTAAAGTTCAACCAATGAAAATCATTCTTGCGAGGAGCTGCGACACTAAGGGTACGCCGCAGGGTACGCTTTAGGCCTCTCACACGTTTTTGCAAAGCTGTTCTATTGTTTTTACTATTGTTTTTAGTCCCCCACATGGTGTGAGCCAAGATGGCGTCGTAAACCTTGAAAAGGCGTACTCTTTATGGTACGCGAATTCAATCCTTTACTGCACATTAAATTATAGTTAACTTTATATAACCAGTGTGGACAAAACAATATCATGAGAACACGGTTGGCGGATTTATATACTTTATAAAGGTGAATATCTGTAAGGTATTCTCTTGTACCATTGCACGTTACTTACTGAGGATCATAAATGAAAGAATTACTGTGAATAATGGAGCAGAAGCCTTCACTGTTTCTGTAAACGATGCTGCAACATGTTTGAGGCTTATCAGCGAGCAAACCACAGTTCCAAACCTACATTGATATAATTGGTGAGTACGATTTTTATCATTTAATATTTTTCACACACAGTAGCATAGCTATGCAGTCTGACAATTTCATCACACTCAACAGTATGCTAATATTTTGATGTGTTCATTGACCGTGTAATGATGACTTAGCAGGACTAAATGGTTAGGCACTATCGATACATATGTAAAGGAATAGAAATGCACACATGTTGTTCCTGGTTGGTGCAACTAGGAAAGAACAATGTTGCGCTGCACCCCACAAACATGGTTATCAACATGTGAAGTTGAACTGTGAATAAAACTTAAAGGATGAGAAGTGGGAACCTTTCAGCCAGGTTGAAAAACTTCTATGAAGTTTGCTGTGTTGTTGTGAGCTATCTGAAGTGATCAGTTTCAAGGGGCAAGTGGATCAGTAATCTAATGTGAAATGTGACAAAATTACAAAAAATAAAGCCATGTACAAAGGGGCTAATGAATTGCTCACCTCAGTACACCTAGAATTGACATGTTCCTAAGAAAGACTAATTTCTTTCCCACAATGCCAGTTCTCCTTGCAAAACAAGGCAACCCATATATTGTAATTCCACCAAATATCACAGGCATTAGCATTTGGGTTCTTCCAAGATGACTTGGGTCTCCTCCAAGCATTGTCAGTATATACTTATTCAAAACAATTGTGAAAAAGCTAAACATATACCATAGTCCAAGCAGTGTTGCTTGCTTTAAAAATAGATTGGACTTGCTTTGAACACTCACAGTGTCTTCAATGTATGTTTTTTGGTTTTCATATGAGTTGAGCTGAATAGTATGATTCTCATGGTGGTGAATATGCTTGATTGTTGGTGACATGACTTTGTTCCTACTCTATATATTTTGTTATCGTTTGAATGATTTTAAAACATATATGATCTTGATACTTCAAGCTGTTATTTCCTTTGCATATATTGATTCTGTTCTATATTCTTTGATTGGATGTATTCAAATCATTTGTTGTCAATATCAACAAGGTGGTTGTTCAGCTGTAAAATTAAAAATTAACAGATTTAAGTTGAAAATATGAATGGCTTAAAAGTCTTAAACATTACAGCATGCATTCCACTATCACAGTAATTCTCCAGACCATAATTACCACTCATAAAGCACCTCCCACAGTCCCATGTCCCCCACCCCTCTAAACTTTGAAGAGATGTTAGATTGTTTTTACAGCTGAATTTATTTATCGATTGTCCCCCACCTGTATTAGAATAACACTATAGACCCATTGCAATATATAAAAATGGCGCCGAATTCTTTGGAAGAATTCATTTACAGTAAGTTGATTGTTTGAAAGGAAGTTTTTTAATATGTATTAATTAAAACGTATATTTTTCAATTGGTCTACAATTACATAAAAAACCCGACAATCGGCAAAAATAAATTAGCTGCTGCAGCAATCAGAGTAGTCTGAAAACCAGTATAAAATTAAAAGTTTAAAATACTTTAACCGGATAATATAAAATTGGGTGAAGTCGATCGTTGTAGCCCATACCTTTACAGTAAAATCCGTCGATCAGTCGATGATCTTTTCAAATACCTTCAATAAATTACTTATCTCCCAAATGAAAAATCAATGTTCCCAACGAGAAACCCTTTCGTGTTGTACTCTCTGAAATGCTACAAAATTTAAATGCATCATTTACAAAGAGACATTCAAATTGGAACAAAGGTCTAAAGAAATTATTTCTAGCGAATCCTATCCAAAAAAGAACATCTTTGATCGTTAATTTTTTCCCACTGAAAATACGTATTTTTACGAATATCGACATCCAATCGCGAAAAAAGTCGAATGATAACAAATGGCGCAAATGGCTTCTTTTCTCAGGCAACATCGCCCGGCCAATCACAATCATTCGACGAATGTTGGCATGTTGCATCCTATGGTTGCCGAGTTGTAGCAAAATTCAATACAGGCAATTTATATGCAATACACTGTTAAAATATTCAATAAACTCATATAATATTCAATAATCACAAAAATGTTCAATATACCCCTTTGTGTAACATTGTGTAACTGCGTTAAATATTCAATGCGACAGGCGAAATCTTCACTAAATTACACTGTAAAATATTTAACTCGGCAAAAAATATATTCAATAAAATCTCGAAAAATATTCAATAGCTTTGGAACAGCGGTCAGTAGCACCCCCTCTGCTTTACTTGGCCTTTTCACCAAGCGAAGTGTTATTTCAAACATGGCCGAACAAACTTTTGAAAATGAAGAAAATGACAACCCCTCATGGATCGATGTTTTTAACGGAGTTGATCAGTTACTGCAGATGATTAACGAAAAAGTCGACGATGGAAGGATATCCTTTCATGAGGCTTCTTTAATTTTCAACAAGCTTGAGACAGCTTTATCAATGGTTGTAAATCTTACCACATTGGATATCGATTTAACAGAGAACACTAGACTTGTACTACTGCAGCTTTCCCAGTGTTTGACAGAACTACACAACTACTGGGCAACTAGAATAGCTAATATAAGACGAGCGACAGTCACTCTGCCCAATTTAAGAATTGAAAATGTCAGCATGTCAAGTGATCCAGGTAGACCATCTCTATCTATACCAAAGGAAATTCTTGAAGACCTAAGGAATTCTGGGTACTCATGGACTGAAATTTCGAAAATTTTACAAGTATCGAGATGGACTGTACACCGTAGGGTACGGGAATATAATTTGCAACACCTTGACAGATTTTCTGACATATCTGATGATGAACTAGACCAGCTAATCATGGGCTATATATCGAGACATGGCAATACCACAGGTGAATCCTACCTTATTGGCTACATTAGATCTCAAGGTATTCGTGTTCAGAGAGACAGGGTACGTTCTTCCCTAACGCGTGTTGATCCTGAAAATACTGCCCTTCGTTGGGCATGCGTAATTACTAGGAGAGTTTATACAGTTCCAGGACCAAATGCTCTCTGGCATATAGACGGTAATCATGCTTTGATTCGATGGAAGTTTGTGGTGCATGGGTGCATAGATGGTTTTTCCAGGCGGATAATTTACCTTCTATGTGCAGACAACAACCGGTCCGACACTGTTGTGAATGTTTTTGCCGCAGCAACTGACGAATTTGGTTATCCATCCCGAGTTAGAGGGGATCACGGAGGGGAAAATGTTCAAGTAGCAAGGTTAATGGAAAGAGAGAGAGGTGAAGGGAGAGGAAGTTTTATTGCTGGGCCATCGACAAGAAATCAAAGAATAGAAAGATTATGGAGGGAGGTATTCCGTTGCTGTCTATATTTATTTTATTGCATATTCTATGCCATGGAGGAAACTGGTGTCCTTGATTTGGACAATAATGTCGATCTATTTCTACTGCATTATGTATACTTACCGCGAATTAATCATTCTCTTCAAGAGTTCGCAGCAGCCTTTAACAATCGCCCCATGAGAACTGAGAACAATTGGAGTCCAGAAAAAATTTGGACAAATGGAATGATAAATCACGCCGTTAGACAGCTTTTAGAAAGGCATGAAATTGAAAACATTGAACTATATGGCGTTGACTGGAATGGTCCTATTCCTGCCGAAAATCAAAACATTGTGGAGGTGGAACCACCGAACTGCCCATTTCCAATTGAGTACCTTCATCAACTTCAAGATCATGTTAATCCGCAACAAGAATCAAATAACTATGGTATAGAACTGTTTACACAAGCGAAAGACTTTCTGAATGAACTGTTCGAATAGCAAAATTGTTAATGTTAGTGTAATTTTTGCAGTTTAAGCTTCGCGTTTTCCGGAAACGGCAAACGGCAGGGCCTGTGCCTAGGGTTTTCGGAAAACGGGTCCATTTGCTCTTTATTGCATGCCTTTGTCGTTACACGTATATCGTAAACTTAAACATTCTAATATAATGTGAACATTTAGTCATCAACGGCTCATCAACAGCTAACAAAATTAGGCAAGCAGAATACAAAAATGTTTTCCAGATGCCACAGATGTAGGATTGCCTTATCGGATTATCTATGTTGAAATTTACAAAATTTCTATTTTCACTATATCTCGTACTACAAACTAAGAAAAAAGGCATCTATAAAAAAAGGTAACAGAATGTAAACGACTTAAAATAGGATACACTACACTGTCAGCTATTGTGCAACAACAGTCGACGACTTTCTATCCATTCAACTTCAAGACTGCATCATAGATGTTGCCAAAAACAGCAATTTAACATAACAACATTAAAGAAACTACTTTTTACTAACAGTAATTAGAACTGGATACTTTAAAGGATAAGTTCAACAATATTCATGGAAGAGAAAACGATTTATCTTTCCTGGTGGTGGAAATTACACCTAACACTGCTGCTTTAAATAGCTCATAACTTTCTTGGCTGAACCTTGATGGAAAAACCAGCTTGAATAGGCAAGTAGACGCAAAAATACTTGCCGCATCTGGTGATACTTCTACGACAATATTTTCCGTTGGTGGGGGAAGAACGTAAGAACAGCCCGTTGAAAATTTTATGAACTTATCAATATCTAAAAAAGATACCATTATAGTGATTATTGATATAAATATGCATCGTGAGTTGCTAATCTCTACTTGCGCTCTAGGGGGCTGTTCACATGAGCCCGGTCACAGAGATTGAAATGAGTAAATAACACGATTCTGGTAGTCCTGTAATCATACTCACAATAGCTTGTGATTGTTCTGTTTCAACAAGACTTTTCAGTTCTTCAAAACCATTCCACGCTTCGTTAAATCTCGTTAACCGGGCTCATGTGAACAACTCCTAATTGTTCCATGCAATCTTCTGTTGTCTATAGGTAATTGAAAATTTTTCATGTAATCATTTACCTTCTTCAGAGCATTCTTCCACAAATTTCTGTAACATGTTAAACACTGCCAAACCACTAGCTTCAATCCCAGTTTCTTTCAACTTTAATAATCCCTTTAAATATTCTCGCGTTTTAGTCTTTGCACAGTGAACAAAATGCTGTAAAAACTTGTCTGGATAACGTCTGATAACATCAATTACACCAAGAGTTTTTAGACCACTAACGAACTGCTCCAACATAGGCACATTTTTCACTACAGCGCAATGTGCAATTATTGCTTGGACAACAGAAAGTCTATTTTCATTCTACAAAAGAAAAATATAAAATATAGAATCTATTCATCCCGTTTAATCAGCACAGCAATTCATTTATGTTTTGGCATGTAGAATTAGTAGAAAACAATTAACACTATTAACTTTTAAAACTAAACATAATTGATTCACTAGCATTTAAAATAACCAAAGTAAATTCTGTTGGCAGTTGAACTAAATCGATCAAAACTTACTGTGACTTGACATTGCAATCCAGAGTTTGCAGCACTTTGAACTCAGGTGACTGGTTCATTATGTCTAAATCAGACTTTTTGACATCATGATCTGTTGGTAGAAATACCAAATACTCTCTTTATTTCATTCAAATTTATGATTCAAAAGAAAAACCTAACACAACTGCCAGGCACAACCAGAGGGATGCTTCCAAACAGGGTATTTTGCCCCAGGCAAAAAATCAATGTTAGAAATATGTAGTCCTCTTTTCTAAGTTACACTGATAATAAGTTCTGCCCAGGTTGGTCAGGTAAAGCAATATATTAGGTTTAATATTGTAAAAATGTAACCCAAAATGAAGAAATTACATTTTGCAGCTATTTTGCCCTTGGAATTGCAGTCCTAATGGGAATTTTCCCCCGGCCCCAAATTTCTTCCTAGTACCCCTGATCACAGCCAAAGAAAGCATGTTAGAATAAGTACAGCTGCAAAATGTTCTGAAAAATATAGCTCTGCAAAGTTCATAAAAGTAAATATTTGTGCACAAAAATATATTTAAAGGGCTGGCTTAAAGCAAACTAAATTAGAGCATGTTTTTTCATGAACTATTATGCTATATGTTTTATATTTATATTGACTTTATTACAATATTTACCTGTTCAACATAAGACTTTATCTCATAATCATGAATGTCATGGATAGATGCATATGCAATGGCTTTATTGATATCTCCAGTGGCAACATAATAATATTGGGAAGGTGCGAGATAGGGAAATCCTGGCCCATTTTGACAAAGACTGTGTGCAATCATGGTGCCTAGTTTTTGGCATACCACACGTCAATGCAGTGTGGTTGTAGTGGAACTGTAGCTTATCAGAGGGGCCTTCAAAGATACGAACTGATGGGTTGTTGACAAATTCCTTAAAAACATCAGAATAAAACTCACGAAGGACACCACCAGTGTCTACAGCTGGTTGTTGTTTGTACTGGACAATGAATGGATGTGTAGGATCAAAACTAGGATGCTTATATACTTGAAGTGCATCAGATAGCAAGTCCTCTGGATCAATCTTTATCTTTCTTGTATCTTTGCTGATCTTGATACTTAACAACTCAAATACACTCTTGGTTGGAACCTTTTCATCATCTATTCCATCACCTTGGACACTTTCACTTGTGGTGACTGTTTCTACAAAGCAGTCACAAATTATTTCACAAATTTCCTTCTTGCCTATTTCCTGTTCTTTACTCCAAACCAACAAATTTACAAAAGTCACTGTATTTGAAAGAGGATCCAGCTACTGAAAATCATGTAACTTTTTTAAACAAATTTGTTACACTTACATTTGTCCTGAACTAAACAATTTTAATAAATTACAAATAATTAAAAAAAGAAAAGACCAATCTTAATTGGCCAAATTTATTATAAACAAACTTGTTGGATACACACACTACAAAAACAAGTTTGTTGGGTTGTGTAAAAAATGGTCAACAAGATGACTATGATACTTTCCGTAATCTCAATGGATCAATAAAGGAAATTATTAGGTTATACCTCCAATTTCAGTTGTAGTATCTAGCCCTTTAATAAGCTGAACATCATCATCTAAAAGATCAGCTATGGAAAGGTCTATATCTTCATGATTTCTTGATAATACTTCTCTGATTTCTGACTCTGTTTTTGTGGAAACATCATGCAAAGTTGAACTGTACTGCTACAATTTGATGTGGAAGAACCTGGAGAACCAAGATCAGATCCATCTTTTTGAATATTGGACGATCCTAGCAAATCAGTTGACTGATTCAAACGTACATAAAGTTTTCCTTGACCAGCAATCACTTTTACTCGTGAAAAATCCCAGAACTGGCCAGGGCTACACACTGGTGTTGAAACAGTTTTCCTACTAACTTTCACAAAATCAAAGTCAACTTCTGTAACATTTGGAAGTCTAACACTGATAACTTTGCATATTTTTTCTCTCATTAGTTGTTCACTGTCATCTGTCATGACATCCACAGTCCCGCTAAACAGAACATCATCTTTGCATATAGAGTAGTCTGGGACAATACCACCAGATTCCTGTGATTCCTCCTCAGCTAACTGGGAAACATGATTTAGGCATATAAGTTCAAACGTCTTCTTTTCAGGAGTTTTTTTCTTTTGCTCTTTTGCATATGAATGGCTTACTCTACGGCGCTTTGGAATCTGAGATGATATATTGGAAGATACAGAAATAGTGTTTGCTCGAAGCAAGTCACGAGCTCTGCGCACCACCCCAGTCACATTTTGTGTGTCTAAAGTAAAATATTTAATTAAGGAAAAAGGTAATTCATGCACAACTTAGGTCTAGCCATTTAGCCTTCAAGGTAGGCAAGAATAAAATTTAGAGGAATGATAACACTTCAAAATATATTCATGCGTATATACCTAAGTGATAGGGGGTTAAGCTGAATATACTGTAACATATCTTGGTTGGTATATTTAATATTTATACTTGTTTATAATTAACTATGAAACAATGGTCGTTGCTGTATTTATGTAGCAGTTTATAACAACATGTTGTAGGTTTGATTTCTGTCAACTCATACATACAAGCATTAATAAAATAGGCTGTTTGATTTTAAACGTTACTATAGTTTGCGTTGTTTAATACTCTTAAAACATAGCGATATTATATTATAAACGATACTGATATGGTACATACCTAGACGACTTTGACTCGTTACTCGACTATCTGATGTATTTGCCACAGGAAGATTGCTAGTCGATTGCAATCCACCACTCACAGCCGTACGATTCCTTTCGGTGATAACCTCCTCTACAATTCTGCGTATTTCAGACTTTCTGTCCATAGATTATAAATGTAAATTTATACTGCTCGCAAAAGAAACGTGAAAAAAAACAAAAAAACGGCAGAGCACATGCAGCCTCGCTCGCCTCGTTTCCAGGCGACAATGACCGTATATGGACTATGCTATGGTCAGTGAACTGCTATCGTAAATTGGGAACTATGGTCCATTAATTCTTTCGCTGTAGACCGCTGTTCCAAAGCTATTGAATATTTTTCGAGATTTTATTGAATATATTTTTTGCCGAGTTAAATATTTTACAGTGTAATTTAGTGAAGATTTCGCCTGTCGCATTGAATATTTAACGCAGTTACACAATGTTACACAAAGGGGTATATTGAACATTTTTGTGATTATTGAATATTATATGAGTTTATTGAATATTTTAACAGTGTATTGCATATAAATTGCCTGTTTTGAATTTTGCTACAATTCGGCAACCATAGCATCCACTCATATTCTCACTGAGTATTCATCCCTGACCAAAACATTTTCAGACAAGTTCTAATCGTTTTATGCGCTAATGATTCCACCGTTCAAAGAAAAATTACTGAAGTACGAATATATTTCCAGTTTATTCCGTCATCGATGATGTTTGCACTTTTTGTGCGCGGAGACACAAGGCCCAAATGAAAACGCTCGAAAACATTGCCATGTGCACGTACTTTTTATATCGCGGCTTCCGCGTCGATGACTCGGTGAAGTTTCGCCTTCGCAAAGTGGAAGCACAGCATGCATTTCTAAAATAAGACAAAAATATCGACGTCTCGAAAACGTCTCAAATTCCGTGGACTAATCGTGTCGGGAAAACTCGCTAAAGAAGCAAGGCAAGAGCATTTTACATGCAACACTTTTGTTCATAGAAGAGATAAAGTGTTCCCAAAGACATCTGGGCTGCTCAATTGCAATTAGTTGTAAATTTTAACGGGAAAATTTGAGTTTCCGAACGGTGTGTATCCATCGTGACGCTATAGGTTGGAGTTACCATATACGGTAATAAGGGTATGTAAGCTATATTAAAATTGGAGATTTGGAGTTCAAATTTCATCAGAATTATTTCCGCGACAAAACGGACAGATGTTACCTTAGAGAACTCCTATTTATCTTTTATGCAACCGTTAGTCAAGTTTGCCTTTCAGATGGAACAATTTTGATATTTTTGAAATCCTGTTGTCTGCAATTTCCCATTCTCATATCGAATTCTGAATAATTAATGAGCTAAGCACAAAATGGAAAAGGGCCTGAAGACTCAACACCCGGGTGGGCAAAAAAAGAAATTCCGCAGTCCACTTAGCGGGAAACGTCCCCACAAGACATCTATCTTACCAAAATTTGCAGTCAACCTGAATGAATCTGATAAGCCGGTAACAAAAACAAAGCATGGAGGAAAAAGGTCAAAGTTGATGTTTCAAATGGGCGGCGACAGTACAGACCCATTGAATCTAAACAGCTTAATTGATAGAGACCCTGCAGATGTGACACCACAGTGTTCCCCTCTTGTTGACCGAATGAAGGAGTTGTCACCACAGGTTGTTATTGCCAGGGATCAAACTGATCCGTTGAACCTGAAGTGTGATTTGTATCAGGATCTGAAGGGAATTGTGGTCATGACACCAGCAAAAAAGAAGAAGAAGCGTAAAAGGAATGATAGTGGTTGTTTTGACGACGAGCAAGAAAATAAAACGAGAAAAGAAACGGATGTAAACAAAGAAGATCTTGCCTCACCCAAATTAAAAAAGAAAAAAATGCAGAAACCAAAGGATGGAAAAGAAGGTAAAATAAAGGAGAAAATAAAAGATGTAAAAGAGAACAGTAAAGTTGCAGGATCAGAAAAAGAAATAGACAATGCAAGTGGAGCTTCAACTGGACAAAAACTAAAAGAGGAGGGAAATTTTTCAGAGGACTTGACTGACAAAAAAGAAGAGAGCATAAATGATAAAAAAATTATTTCCAGGGAGAATTCTGTAACAGACAAAGATACATCTAGTGTGCCAGAGAAAACACAAAAATTGGAAGAAAGGAATAGCTCTTCCAAACATCACAAAAAGTCCAGAAAGACCTTCCATTATGGTAATTATAATCGCTACTATGGTTACCGTAATCCAAAGTTCTTACAAGATCCTCGCCTAAAACTTTTCCATCAGGAGTGGTTTGAAGATAAGACTGTGTTGGATATTGGTTGTAACACAGGCAATGTTACCTTAGAAATTGCCAGGGATTTTTCCCCGAGGCATGTGCTTGGCATTGATATTGATAGCTCTTTGATAACGACTGCCAATAAGTGTTTAAGGTGCACCATTCAAGAAAACCTTAGAAAGAAGCCAGCAGTCTCTGCAGAATTTCCAATGTCGTTTATGGTTTGTCATGGTCCAATTGTGGCTCGGACATCTCCAACTGAGGGACGAACTGGATATCCTTATAATGTACAGTTTAAAGAGGTTTGTTGTCTAATTTGTATTAATTCCTGTAATTACAGGGAAGGTTTGCACCCAGTATAACTTATTGTGTTTTTTTTCCTATTTTGTCTAGGAAAACTTTGTTCCGCAAAATGAAAAGTCACTGGCTAAACAGAAGCCAACATATGATGTGATTCTTTGTCTAAGTCTAACAAAATGGATTCACTTGAACTGGGGTGATGAGGGACTCAAGAGGGCATTCCAAAGAATGTTTCTGTTATTAAATCCAGGTGGAAGATTATTGTTGGAGGCACAACCCTTCAACTCTTATTCCAGAAGAAAAAATCTCAGTGTAAGTTAAATATCTCATTTTTTTGTATAAGCAAATTTCGTATGGGTATTTTAATAGAAATAATGTGTTCTATAATTATAGACATTAAATATAATCCATAGTATACAGATGATTTAGAAGATGATTAATATATTGGCAATTATATTGAAGAAAATGTGTACAATATTTTTGTAGGAGCAAATTCGAAAGAATTACAACTCCATTAAATTCACACCAAATCAGTTTGTGGATTATCTAATGTCGGAAGATGTTGGATTTGCGTCATACGAGGCGTTGGGAGTTGCTGAAAATAATTCAAAGGAAGGTAAATAAGATGACTTAAATTTTGCCATGAAGATTAATGTGTTAGTTTTTATGAAGTTTGAAAGTTTTATTCTTTACTTTACAACTTAGTTTTCATGAATGAGTGAATCTGAGGTTTCTTGGTCACTTCATCTTCATGACTCTAATACCTAACATTGTCATTGATCTTTCTGCAGGATTCCAGAGGCCAATATACGTCTTTACAAAGAGTGTTTCAGGAGAGAGTTACGATGCGTTAGGCGTAAACATCGCAGAGAACAGAAGAAACATGAATTTGAAACTTTACGACGATTATTAAATGTCTGAAGATGAAGGAGAGGACGGGATGACATGGTCACGGTCTGGAACATCGATGTCATCAGTTTCATTGTTAAATAAGTCTTGTAAATAGCTTGGGTTCGTCTGTGTTAAGAGAAAGTTATGAGATAGCAGAAAATGAATGCTTCAAGAACAGGAATTTGCGACGAAATTATTTGCGAAAGTTATTTTAAAGTGTTATAAACAGAGTGTGACACAGTCTTTGTACAAGTGTTGTTTTTTAAGTGTAATATGTTTACTTGATATTAAAGAGGTTCTGGGGTTGTACACGTGAATATTCCTGTTAAAAAACTTTTTTGCTTCACGCTGATAATACGTACTTTCTGACAAACAAAAGCTTTGGTTTTTTAAAGTAATTTTTTAAAAAATAACAATATTTTTACAATGAACCACATAAAATGGTCCCAAATATATAATTATATGTACAACATTCTAACAATATGAAATTAAAATTAAATAATTTCAACCACCCTCAAAGGTTCATATCACCACACCACTAGAGAAATAGGAAGATGTTAAACGCAACACCCTTCTCAAATGCATGCTACCTCTTCTCGTCAACATGGCGTCATCATAATTATTGACCATGAAGGTTTCAAACGACACGTGATGCCGGCGTTGAATATTCCAATTCGTGTCGCAAAATTACAATGAAAACCGTCTTCGAACTTATGCGATATGTTGAAAAAATACGGTATTTGGGATACATAGTACTTATCGTATTTGTGAAATCTTGAAGTTTTATGTAATACACGTTTACCGATATCGCAATGACCCCGTTTTAGAAACGCGATTTTCATTGACCGTGCGTAGTGCGCGTCTGCGCGACACGATACGATTACCCTTGTTAAACCAAGCATTCGTGTCAAAAAACTAATTTGGTCTTTCGAGTTAACTTTCAAATTGAACTTTTCGGAGGGGTAACTATTCAAAAGGGGGGTTGACTTTTCCTCATATATAAAACTAGGGCTTCTCCCCCCCTATCCCATTCGAAACCCGTTATTAAAGTTCATGTTTTGTAAGGCTTCTGTCTTCATTTGATTCACCCGACCAACCAGTTTCAAAGCTGGACCGAGTTTCATCTGCAAGCCCACGACCAGGTGCTCTTCTTTCACCAACATCAAAGCGTAACCATCGATTTCTTGAGAGACAAAGCTTTCGGCATATTCACTGCATCCGCTAACATCTCTGGAATGATAAATTGCGCGCGAAAATTTAATGATGGCGTGGAAGACTTAGAAAGACCACTGGATCAGAAACGGGGGGGGAGAACATATCGCCAAGCAAACAGGAAACCGCACTTTCTCCAACTTTAGAGCTTCACAGAATTCAAAAACCTGGACGAAAAAGTGATAGCCCGGATCACTTAAATTAACTTGCTTTTTTCACCAGTGAACTGGGTGACGGCCATTCTATCACTTCTTCTTCATGTACCGAGACTCTCCGCTTTACTGATCATTTCAACGTTATAATTACCTAACAAAAGCGGCCACTTCTTTGACGTTCCATTTGGCAGCTGGAACGTATTCAAACTGCCATAAACAGTCAAGTTCATTGTCACTTCTGCCGTCAAACGCTTCTAAAGCAATAGGGAAGAAAATTATATCGAAAGAAATTTGCGCTTCTCAATCAAGCAATGGAAACTGATGGCTATGTTTCTCTCTCAAACTTACCTCTCAAAATCGTCTCGTCCACTTGCGTGGAGGCTTCGTATGATTGATTGCTGTACGACTATAACGAGATGAAAACGAAAATCCTGTAGCTCGTTTCATCCTAGATCTTAAAATTCAAGTCTTCTTTGTATGTGCAGTTTTTGAAAAATAAACTTATAGAAATGCAAACTGCCTTTTTCAAAGAAATTCATCAAAAGATGTTTTAAATAAATTTTATTATAAAATCTTTCTGTCATGATATGATGCAGCTGGTTCCCAAAACAAAACACCAACTTACTCTGGCCATTTTTCTGGATTGGGTAACACTAGGTTTTCTGTTGAGATAATGTTTCCACCCTCCCCTCCCCCGACCACCAATTCCGCTGCCAGAATAGCCTCCCCGCTTGGGCACAGGTATGCCAAACAGTCTAGCACATGTATTTGAACAGAACTTCTTTGATTCAAAACTTCGTGCCATGGAGGTGCATGCTCTGCCACAGTATGAACAATTGTCCAAGTCAAATGAACCTTCGCTTGATTCTTCCTCACTTGTTGCAAAGTCTGTAAAAACTATGAAGATAAGTTCAGGGTTTTGGTGATTGCAAAACACTAAAACCAATTCCAATTGATATTCACTTTACCTTCATTTTCTGTTTCAAAGAATGGGGTGCCCATAATATCGGGTTCATCTGTTGGCAACTTTCCAAATTCATATGTTTGCCCTTTTACCTAATTAAAATAAGTCAAAAAATTGAACAGTTATAATTTTGTTAACATCTGTCACACTTCCATAACTTTGTCAATAAAGTATATGACAAAAATTGTCGAATAAAAAACTTATAAAATGTTATTAGTATTTTTCATTTGAAGTTACACTTAGGCTAAGGCTTACAAATGCATTGTATTACACAGGACAGGTTTATATTTGGTGAAGTTTAATACCACAATATAACTTTTATATTCAAGATGTCATTCATGAGTGGAAAAAACCAGATGAGGTTGTGGGGTTTTACTACGCTACATAATTGCAAGACGTTCCAAAAGTATATCTTCATATTATTTCAATTCAGCCCCCCACATAATCAAGATGTTGACACATCCAGGGGGGGCAGCCCCCTATGTACATCAAATTTGTCATAGCCATCACACTCAACATTTGCAACTTGAGAAACGAGTTCCTATTTCTTTTACCACTACGACTTAAAAAAACATAAATGTAGAACTAGATTTAGACAATCCAATAACACATATTTTCAAAGATATAATTAGCAAAAAAGCGAAAAAAATATTTTCGCAGTTTTGTAGAATTTAGAAAATTTAAGACGATGTTCGACGGAGGCGTTTTTATGCGACATAAAATCAATGTTATAGATTAATACTAACGGTAAACGGCCAGCTACTTTCTTGGATAATAAAATTTTCAATAAAATGATTTAGCACACACGGCTCTCCATTGGTTGACATGTCAGCCATCTTGAATTTGAGTTAAACTCTGCCACGAAAATTTTGGAAATTTTCTAACACATTTGAACTTGATTGAGGAAGCTTTATTAGCACGACGACATCTAAAATCCACCAAAGCGAAAATTGTTATTTCCACACCGAAACTCTTCAAAAAGTCCAAAAATAAATTCGTCGAAAATTGTTTTTCGTTTTTTGCTCAGCACGATTTTTTGCATAGTGATTAGGATCACGTGCTCAACCTTGATCTCTGCACCAGACTGGATGGATGTTCAATTCTTGACGACAATTTTCAGAGCGAAATAAGAAAATAGAGGATTGTGATTATTTTATACGTGTTTCACGTTCACGAAGAAAATCACACACTAACATTGCGGAATTCGTAATTTTGGTAATATTCCTAACACGATAAATACGAAAAGAGCGAATTTCAGCCAGTGCTTGCTCGACCAATCGTTTCCATTTAATTTGTATGAAATTCTAGAAATGCGGTTTTAATTCGAAATTTAGGCGATTTAAAATTCCCGGCGCGTAATTCGCATATTGACATTCTGCATTCTAGGAATTTCCGCATGGAGATATTCAAAGTTATAAAGGATCGTCGGTTCGACGTCGTTGTGGTTGGGTCTTGCTTCTGCGATTTGCAAACTTACATTCGGAACCTCCCGAAACCCGGCGAGACTGTTTTAAGTGAAAAATTTCAAATGGATTTTGGTGGTAAAGGGGCTAATACTTGTGTAATGGCAGCAAAATTGGGTGCCAGGACCGCCATGATTTCCTCAATTGGAGACGATGTGTTTGGAAGAGAGACATTGGCAAACTTTCATAAGTTTGGGGTTCACACAGAATGTGTTAAAATCACTAGTGATGCTGCAACTGGAATTACTAATTGCAGTATGTATCAATTATTAACATTTCATTATAATACATAACATTCCTGTAAGAGTTACCAGTGGCATAACACCATATCTGGGCTGCTCCCCCCCTGTAAAAATTATTATTAAAAGCCCCCCTTCCATAACCATATTATAAATTGATAGCCTTACCTAACCAAGTAGTACAGTACATTCTGGAGAGGGCCCTCTTAGTCCAGTTCTGAGACCTTAATAGTAATCATACTGAAAGTGACTTTACTTTTTCTTTGTAGTTGTTAATGAGGATGGAGAACCTTCATATATAAGTGTTCCAGGTGCAGGCAAATGCCTCTCAATTTCAAATATAAACGATGCAAAACACATCATCGAACAAGGCAAGATAGTAATCAGCAATAATGGTATCCCACTATCTACAGCAATAGAGGGGTTGAAACTTGGCAAACACTATGGAGCTATAACAATGTATAACCCTTCACCCAATCTGCATGAAATGCCTGATGATTTGTGCTCAAATATGGACATTCTTTTGCTGAACACAACAGAGGCAACTACTTTGACAAAAATCAAGGTTTCAGGGCCTTCTGATGCTGAGGATGCCTGTGCTTGGTTTCATGACAAAGGTATACAATGTGTTGTCATGACAATGGGAAAGGATGGTGTTGTAGTGTCTGCTGTATGCTTAGAAAGTGCTGATAAAGGTAAGTTTTGCGTAACTATTTAACAACCAACCTTACTTGTATTGACATCAAGTGTGGAATGTCTGATTTACACAAAATCATTATAAGTAAGGTTTATTCGATCGTGAGCTTAAAGAAATAATAGTGTTAAAAGTGAAAAGAATAGTGTTAAAAATGGTTTAATCTTCTAGGTTCTTCCAGGATGGTATTTCATACCCCTGCAAGGAAAGCATGTGTGGTTGATACAACAGGTGCAGGTGATGCTTTAGCAGGGTCCTTTGCTTTCTTTCTTTCCTGCTATCCACAATTATCCCTGAAGGAAGTTATTAGGCGTTGTGTTACTATAGCGACACAGACTGTTGAAACAGAAGGTGTACAAAAGAGTTATCCAAGCTGCAAATTATTGCCTCAAGAATTGTTTGAAAGATTAAAAATAGCTTGAAATTTTTATAATTCACAAAATTAGTATATTTTTCCAAATTTAAGTTTTCCAAATCTAAAGTTATAGTCAACTAAAATATTTTGAAAATAAAAAACTTTCAATGGAACAGCAACTGGTAGAAAATCAATTTATTCACTATTACAAGTTGAATATGCAATACAAAATGATATTTTAAACTATTCTACTTCAGGTTAGGTAATCGTATGCAAGGATTAATTAAAGTTTTGCCTTAATTTATTTACTCTTTGAGAGGACTAGGAGCCGGAGGCAATTTCTTTATAATGCTCCTGCATTGGCATATGGTATCAAGCGCGTTGGCATAGCACACCCATTCTGGTTGGCCCGACAAAAGAACACACTTTCGATAGACACTGCAGGCTTTCAGACAGCATTCGTGAACCTCTTTATGACAGACGTAGGCAAACTTTGCTATATTGCCCCATACGAACGGAATTTTGACGACACACACTTTGCCACAGTCAAATGGACATGGCTATAAAAGAGAGTAATTGCATTACTTTTACATGCGAGAGTCAAGGCGATTCCTCGATAAAAATTAAACATCTGATTCAATTTTAATTCCACGTTTTTCTAACATCTAGATCTAAACCCGACGATGATATTTCGGAATTGAAAAATGACATGTCATTAAAGTTCCCCTGCCCGTTAACCTGTTTAAGTATATTTTATAACATTCTAGTTGATCAGGTCAACCTACCGGCCAAATTGCAGGTGGTACGACGTTATTCGGAAGTGCCGCTTTTTTCGCCATTTCAACATCTTCAACCATCGTCTCCGGAAACTCTGCCTCTGGTCTAGCAGACACAAACATGACCGCCATGGTCAAAAGGATTATTTTTATGACGCTGTTAGAAAGCATTGTTGCCTATGAATGAATCTAAAGGGGAAGCATAATATCGCTTTAGTGGCAGTTCGGCTGTCATATGTACCATGTGTTTCCTCCAACCCCTACAAAAGAAACTCTTGCATGGTATACTCTGTTCTCAAAATCTTATTTAATATGTTTCAGTAAAACACTGTCAACGACGAACTTACTCTTCCGAAAGAAAGTCTTTGGTTGTTTGTCTTCTCGTCTTCGGAAAAAATGCAGTTTCTTCTAGCTATTCTTCGAGGTGTATGGATGAAACTTGCTTCATGTGGTTCCCTTTTATATTCGATCATGCTGTTTTCAATCTTCCTATTTACGTCAGAAAAATGCGTGGTGCTTTTGGTGCTAAGGATACGGTAAGGGAGCTTAGCTTGAGGAGGTAATTGTTTACAATTGTTGCAAAGACCTTGCTCGAAACTGATATTTTTGCCAAGGCCAAGGAAGAATCAGATTCGGTATTTGAGGTAATTCCGGTAGATTCAATTACCACCCACAACTGGAACAAGAGTTCTTTATAAAACTTTTTGTTTTTTCATAAATTAACATCGAAACCCACATCAACATGTTTGTTATTTACAGGATTACGGGTTTTTTTGCTACTCAATCTCAGATTTGTAAATTTTAACCGTGGTACTGGTACAAAGGATAGACTGATATATTATCGCCATTTTATCAGTGACAGAATGGAATAAAACTGAGCATTGTTCTTGCTGGAGAAAAGGGCTTGCATCCTGAAACAAATTTTTAGTTAAATTAAATTTTCATTTGTTGGTGGTCACTTAAAGCTCCTCAGCTTATTCTACTGTTCCTCTACATTAGTTTGACATAGGTGAAAACATCTATCAACCAAAAGTTTTTCTATTTGGATAAAACTTTTCTACTTTTTTATTTTTTATAGAAGTTTTTTATGTAGTTTAGAAAATAGATTGAACTTCCGGCATAACAAGATCATTAGACCTTAAGAAAAAGATTTCTTAGGTCCGGTAAACTGGGATCATTTAGTTTTTTAACGGCACATAAGCCCTTACAAATTACAAATGTTGAAACAAATCTCTACAAAGCACAAGCATTTTTTTCAAATTAATCATTGTTCAAATTAATAAAACTAAATCATTGTTCTCTTTACATATATATCTTTGTTTAGATTGTATATCTTGATTTTATTTTGTTGTATAAGATATTTTGTCTTTACTGTGAGGATATAGAATTAGGGATTGTAACAGAATTTTCTATCCCTCCATGCAAACGTGTGACTTTTAATTTTTAACAGAACGGAGTTCTTATGAAAAGTCCTTGTTGTGGAAGGCATTTTTTAATAATTGTGCCTTTGTGTCCGGCAAGTTGGAACCGCCTATTTGCGAGTCTGATCACACTCGCCAAGACCCTGGCGCGGTCTAAGTCTGGAAGCTGCGAAATGCGAAGGCTTCGTCAGATTCCGTCTTGGCCTGACAATATATATTGTATCGGATGGTACGCTTCATTTAAGTTTCTTGTTGTTTTTTTCGGTTATTTGTGAATGTCTTTGTGGGTTGATATTTGGATGAAATTGCTTTCAATATTGGTAGGCTATTACCGATACAAACTATTCCGTGACCAGGAACAAGCTTTTTTGCCGACACCGGCGGCAGGCGTGGGGAGTGCATAGTATATTAATAGTTTACTGAAAGACATTACCCCGCACTACGAGAACTATAGAGTTAATGGACGTGAACGAAACGAAAATGTTGCACGTGAACAGGTAAATTTGGTGTTGTTGACGGCGGAGTTCATTGAAAAAACCGAACGGAAGAACATTTTTTCTTTTGCTTCATTGACGTGTTTTTAAATAAAGGTTGTTTTGTTATATTTCATAATTTCATTAACTGAAATATACGGTATAAATTAGTGCACATGGTGATACCTTGTGTATGGAATACATGGTCACTCGGATATGAAATTATTTTTTTAGATGTAGTCTGCGTATGACGTCAAATCAGCTGTTTGTGTTCCTGTGCTCATCCTGTGCTCACCAGAACATAAAATTTATAGCTTTTCTGTTATGTTTTCGTCAATATGGCGGAAATATGACGTAAATGAGAAATATCTATTACCAGAACTGTTCTATTCTGATAATAAAACCTTTCTATTATCTTTTGTGAAAGATTTTGATGTAGTCTAGACTCTAGAAAATCGACTACCGGTATTTACAAGTTGCACTACAGTCTAAAAATGTTTGAACCAATCTAAGTACAAGAAGTTTTTTCGGAATAAAAATTGTTCTTTGTATCATTGTTTAACATTTTTTTGGTATATTCGACAATGGTCGAGTATACCATATTCCGGTATATTCGACTATGGTCGAGTATACATCTATTTCATCCATTCGACCATGGTCGAGTATACCATATTCCAGTATATTCAACCTTGGTCGAGAATACCATATTCCGATCACGTGATTGATTTTGACCATTGCACGCAGGCGCACAAAGATTGTGTATTAAATTTTGGTAAATCATGGTCATGATCATGGTCTATTTAACAAATAGATTACAATGAACCGTTGTCTGTTCAGTTATACAGGGTGTCCCAAAAAAAACGAAAACTATTGAAATCACTCATTGTTAAAATTTGAATGCCGTGTGCACGAATTTTAACCCGTGGGGATTTAATGCAACTCAGTGAAATGCTAGATGCTTTGTGTTGCTAGAGAAAGGGGACATGTCAAAGGTCATGGTGATTGAGATGCACATTTAAATATTGTTAATAAATATCATTTTCGCGTACGAGCAAATTTTACTGCATCATATGCATGCATAAAAATGCTTATGGCAAACATTTACACACTTGTGGGTCCCAACAGAGTGCTTAGGCATTCAAACTTTAACAATTACATTGTTATGGGTGATTTCAATAGTTTTCGTTTTTTTTGGGACACCCTGTAGATACACGGTATGACGTCATATGTGATAAGAACAAAAAAAGTGGCCACGAGCCGCCGGGGCGAGTGGTCACTCTTTTGTTCTTATCACATATGGCGTCATACCGTGTATCTATAACTGAACAGACAACGGTTCATTGTAATCTATTTGTTTTATGTAATAAAACTGAAAAAAATCCAAAAGTAATTGAATTATTTGTTTGCAATTTAAAAACAAGAAAATTGCTGTGACGTCATTCCGTGCGTCTGTCCTCTTATAGATCATGGCTCTCGACCAATGAAATTGCTTGAATTCTTTACGTTATTATATAAAGAATCATATCTTAGTTCCTTAAATTCCTTAGTTTTCCGAAAAGGCATCAAATTAATGCCAGCATTTTATTATTTATTCACATCATTTTTTTTACACAGAGATTGATTCAATAATTTTGCGTCTAGAAACTTCATCGATGTGCAATGCTTGGTGAAATTTGAAAAACGTTCCTTGAACAACTGACTCTTGATCCTGATACAAGATTATCACAACTCCTTTTTTTGAGGATATCTCCATAGAAATGAAGTGAGCAAAGCTCGTGTTGCAAGATGGCGGTTCCACCAGAGCGTTCTTTACGATCTGTTTTCGGTAAAACATTTTACACGTTTTATATTTTGTATTCACTTAAAGATCAGTAATGATTCTTTAGAGTTCTATATTTTTTAAATACCCAGTAGTTTTTCAATATTCATTAATTTATGAAAACTATATATATAATAATATATTTCTTCATAGAATTCACAGTCGCTATAAATTGTTATATAAATATTAACATTACTATCTTTAGTGATGTGTAAAATATCTTTGACCATATTTATGGTTTATTTAGTTGGAAATATTCCTTATGAAGCTTCAGAAGAGCAACTGAAAGAAATATTTTCTGATGTGGGGCCAGTTGTTAGTTTCAGGTGCATACAGTTATTCTATAGTCTATACTATGAAATTTCTAAGCTATTGAACTGACGCATGATTTCAAGCAAAAAGAGTTAAAACGCTATGTTTCAATTAAGGTTGGTGTTTGATCGAGACACAGGTAAACCAAAAGGTTATGGTTTTTGTGAGTACAAGGACCAGGAGACCGCAGTCAGCGCAATGAGGAATCTGAATAATTATGAACTCAATGGCCGCACTTTGCGTGTGGACAGTGCTGCAAGCGAGAAAAATAAAGAAGAAGGTGAGAAATTTAGCTTTCAACCTTCGAATTGGTATTAACTCTTTTGTAATTATCGGCAAGATACATCCTCACACAAGTGTCACATTAATGCTACGTAATTGCACTAAAATGCTATTAATGTACGTAAGTGCTATAGTGGGTTACATACATACAAGCTAAGAATCCAATGTAACATGGTTTGATTTTTTTAGAGATGATAGCAGCTGCTCCTCCGGAGACCAACCCTTTTGGACCTGCAGTTCCTCCCAGTGAAGCTCCTTCAGCTATCACACAGGCTGTTGCAAGTCTACCTCCTGAGCAAATGTTTGAACTGATGAAGCAAATGAAGGCATGTTATTTAGTTTGTGCATGGATCTTCATGCACACGTATTTTTTTGTATCACCACCAACTCATTTGGTATCCTTTACAGCTTTGTATTCAAAATAATCCGGAGGAAGCCAGACAGATGTTGCTCCAAAATCCTCAGCTGTCGTATGCTTTACTTCAAGCTCAGGTTGTTATGAAGATTGTCAATCCTGAAATTGCACAGGTTCGTACAAAAGAAAAACATGCATGTCTGCTAAACAGCTAAACAAAACAGCTAACGTTAGAAATGTGTATTCTTTTTAAATTCATTTTATCAGTAATCGTTATTTCTTTCAAGGCCATCTTGTATCGTCAGGCAGAACCTCCACAACCATTGCAACCTGAGCAACCAGGGGGGCACCTTCCTCCTGGTCACATCCCACCTCATCCAGATATTCAAAGAGGTCCACCTCCTGATATGCGAGGACCCCCAGACATAAGAGGTCAGTCTGACAGAAGACCTCCATCTGATATGCGTGGTGATGTGAGAGGTCCACCTTTGGATAGAAGAGATGGAAGGGGCCCCCCAGATGACAGAGGTCCCCCACCAGATAGACGTGGACCACGGGATATGAGAGGATTTGATAGACCATCAGATGCTGGGGATCCGAGGCGGAATCCTGACTTTAGAGGGCCTGCTGACTTTAGGTCCCAAGGTACTTTCTGCATTGCTTATCATCTAACCATTGAGATGAATAAAGCATGTTTATACTATTATAACCATGTTTATTCATATCAATGCATTTTGAGGTAGGCAGGTTCAATTGGGGCTATGCTCTGTCTGCTCACCTATCATCTGCGTGTTGTAACTCGTTTTTGATGATGAAGTTATTAAACTAAGCTAAACTAAACTCCACAACTTTTCCACTTATTTATCAAGTCTGATGTTCACATCAGCCATTATCAGTGAAACGAAACTGTTTTAGGTCACTATAATTCAGATTCTTGTAGACATATGTGCCTATACATTTGTGCTTATGTAAGTGTCCTTCATCTGGAAATCACATCCCAAAGTGTTGTATAGAATTGCCGTTCGTATTGCCACCAATGGTTCTGACAAAGTATTTAGGAATATCAATTTGATTTGTTTCTGTATCGCTATGATTCATTGAGGAAAATTGAATCAGACAAAACTTGATAAATATTTTACCAATCTTCAGATCGTGGAGGCCCGGATTATCGTGATCCTCGTGGCTTTGATCGGGGTCGCTCTGACGACCGTCGAGGACCACCGGAGACACGTTCTGGTCCCTCAGATACACGTTCTGGTCCTCCTGACCCACGCTCTGGTCCTCGTTCTGGACCTCCAGACCCCCGGAATACACGTGGACCTGATCCAGGCGGCAGACGTGATCGTCCTGAGGAAAGATTTAGTGGTCCACCACCCCCTTGGAACAAGGCAGGACCACCCCCAGCCCCTCCTACGAGTGTCCCCACGTCTGTACCATCCGCACCCACCGCCCAATCCAGTATAAACCCAGCAACAGGTGACGTCACTTCTCAGGATCAGGAAAAGGTCAGTGCTAAGTGAAATATTTGGTCTTTTAATCGTGTTTGTGATGGTTGTTTTGTCTCGTAAATATTTACAGTATTTCAAGTTTTCATCTCCCATTTTCAATTTTGAAAATAAAACATTTAATTTTTGGGAAGATGTACAAGTCCTATGACCATCAGGATTTTCTGATGAACTCTTTTGTGTCTTCAGGCTGCTCTGATCATGCAAGTCTTAAGCCTGACAGATCAACAGATTGCGTTACTTCCTGAGGATCAACGACAGAGCATTATGGTACTGAAGGAACAGATTGCTCGGAGTTCACAGTAAAGCAATATCTTCAATTTTTTTTCATAATTTTTCTGTGTAAAACATTGTTTTTGCTTTTAGTAAATGCCTGTTAATAGCATCGTGTGTTTAGTTTTCAGAAGATTTAGGTTTCTTTTACAAAACGTCTTCAAAAAAAAGACGTAATATACACCAAAGTCATAATCTGTTAAGGTCTGTTCACACGATCCAATTTTGTTGGATCCAATTCACTTCTGACGTATGAAATATAGTTAGTTATTGATAAAGCACTACTGCATTGGATTTGCTGCTCATATACATTACAAAACAACAGACTGTAAAACATTCATCAGAAGTGAATTGGATCCAACAAAATTGGATCGGACTTATATAGCTCAGTGGTTTGCACGTGAAATCCAATATGGCCGCCAAAGTGGCTCAATTTCACTGTGTTTCATTTATTTTGAGTTTAATTACAATATCGTGAATTAACGATGACAATTTTTGGACAAGTTGTTATCGGACCTCCAGGGAGTGGAAAGAGTACATATTGCAAGGCAATGAGGGAATTTTTGAGTGGTTTGGGTCGCAAAGTTGCAGTCGTTAATTTAGATCCAGGGAACGATATTTTGCCCTATGAATGTGAAGTTGATATTTCCGCACTCGTCACGTTAGTAGACGTGATGGAAAACTTGAAATTAGGTCCTAATGGAGGCCTTATTTACTGTATGGAGTACCTTGAGACTAATTGTGACTGGTTAATTGAAAAATTGGAACATTTTAAGGATTGTTACATTCTGTTTGATTGTCCTGGCCAAGTTGAATTGTATACACATCATAAATCTGTCAGAAATATTGTGCATAGACTGCAAGAGAAAAATTTTCGGGTAATACTGTAGTTTAAGTAATTGTTTTATATGGTGTTAAGTTAGTTGCACAGACCTCTTCACTCAACACAACCATTCTCACTTCTCAGTTGGTTATACCAAAAGACAGAGGTGTGCAGCTCATCTGCTCAATCTAGTGCACTATGGGTGTGTAAAAATATACCACAACACCTCAGGTGGCTCCTGGCATGCTAGTTCTTGATAGGAGCAGAATTGACAATATTTTTTGCACATAATTACAAGCCTGAAATAAATATATATGGGTTTGACCACAGTATTTCAAATTTTCTGTGGAGGTAATCTCTACACGGTAAAGGGTAAATAAAATATTAAATAAAACACACCATTTTACAATCATGTATTGACTGATAATTTTTTTTAGTTTGCCGCAGTTCATTTAGTTGACTCGCATTACTGTAATGATCCATCAAAGTTTATTTCTGTTGTTTTAACTTCTCTATCAACGATGGTCCAAATTGAGCTACCTCATGTTAATGTTTTGTCAAAGATTGATATCATTGAACAGTATGGAAAGTTAGGTATACATTTTTTGTCTAACCAGTTTTGAATAATGAAACAAGTACTCAACACGTCCAGAACAAATAAAACAAATGTCTACTGCTTTTCTTTCACCTGCAGCCATTGTAGTTACCATGATGAAACAATCAACCCTTTTTTGTTCTACTTAGATTTTAATCTAGACTACTACACAGAAGTTCTAGATCTTAAATTTATCTTGAATGAACTTCAAGATGACCCAGTGACAAGAAAATTCAAGAAATTGAATGATGCTTTGATAAGTGTTATAGAGGATTATAGTTTAGTTTCTTTTTTACCTCTTAATGTTCAGGTACATAGTAACAGTATTTTGTGTTCAACATGAAATTGTTGAATTTCTTATTTATCCACCAAATGGTAATTTTATGTTTTTATTAATATGATAATCATTATTAAAGGATAAAGAAAGTATGTTAACATTGGTGAAGAAAATTGATAGCGCCAACGGTTATGTTTTTGGTGGTAAACATGAGGAAGGAAATTTAACTGAAATGTTATCTTATGCAGCTGGAGCTGATTTTGAGTATTTCAAGTATCCTTTTATTGACAAATTAAAAACCCAAAAATGAAGAGTGATTCAACTTAGCTAATAGTTTGATTTAACTGAAAAAAAGATCGGCAAGTGTCCAAGAAAAGTATGGTCAACCTACGTCAAGAGAAGAAAATCAGTTGAACACTCTGGATTCAAGTTAAATGTGAAAAAAACATAATCATAAGTAGAACTGGCTAACCTACTCCTATTTTGAAATATATTTTATCTAGTCGACCTTCTTTAAGATCAGTTCGTGAATGTGGAATGAACCTTTATGTAACGCACAGCCTATTACCTAAAAAAATTTTGTGCCAGAGACTTGTTCTTTGTGGTCATGAAGGGTGTAATAAAGGTTTTTTATAAAAGGATAGAACAGAAATTTCCTTTCTCATGGGTGAGAGATGCTTAGATCTGTACACATCTACTGAATACGGAAATCTTTTGCGAAAGGTTTGGTTTGGATTTAAACTAATTATATGCGACGCGAGTTTGTTCCTTTCCCTTGGTGATTAGAGAGAGGCGATGAGGAACCGAATTACCGAACCACTGGCGTAACACAATAAGGCCACACCTCTTCCGTTTTGACTTTGAACGACATCCGCCATCTTGTAAAACTAAACCACAAATCGTCAAATATGAAACTGAGAATGATGTATCACATTTTCCTCTGGTTGTAACCTTCACATTTACAAGATCTATGCATGGCGCAAAGCGACTTCGACTTGTTTTTCAAATTTCTACTCATTGGGGACAGCGGCGTTGGAAAAACCTGCATTTTGTTTAGATTCGCTGACGATGCCTTTAACCCTAACTTCATACACACAATCGGAATTGATTTCAAGATAAAAACGTTGAAAATAGGTTCGTAGAATAGTACGACTTTTCATTATAGTTCACTATGTTGTATTTCTTGTATATTGAATTCTTATTGAAAAAGAATACTACAGCTAAATTTATAATATCAAGCTATAGGGGGCTCTTTTGCTAAAGGCAGATTTTCTAAATATTGATCAATATTTATTTTTGACATTTTCTTAATATTTTGAGTGATTAGGGTAGTGGATTTCTCTAGGCCTTGCTGTATTTTGCCTAGGTTCTACGAGGCAGTTTTGCGATTTGTCACGTACATTCCTGCCAAATCTTGATAATACAATAACAATTGAATGTCAAGGCGACTTCCTTGTACCGTCTATTCAGGCACGATATTTGGTGTAAAATTCAAAGTTATTTAAAGATTGTCTTTAGCAGTACTTCGTGCACTATTTTATAATGTGCTTCTTTGGTATTACTGACCATATTTTATAAATATTATTTAATCTTTCGTTTCTTGATCATTGATAAGAACTGCTTTGTCATGCATATATAAATAGTGATTATCGTAATTGGCATGTATCATGGTCATAGACAGAATGTTTCATGAAGAAAGAAACTATTACAGTAAAGTTTTTTGGACATTGTGCTGAGGATATTGTGCACTTCATACATGGATCATTAGATTCTGCTTAGTTTAAATTATTTGGAACATTAATTAAGGTGACCCAAAATTGGCATAAATACTTTTTTATTTTGTCTTCAAACAGGACATGTAAAAGTTTGGGGAAATTCAGAGGGACCTTGGTAGTATAATTAGGTCACATGTTGAATCTGTTTTATACTTAGGTGAAAAAAGAATCAAGCTACAAATATGGGACACAGCCGGACAAGAGAGGTAAAGTTAGAGACAAGTGATGTTGTTTTACTAGTTCAATCTCTAGCATTAAAAGCATGGAACTCCAGTGTTGCTAAAGATGAGTTTATTACATTATCCACAATTATTTTCCATTTCACTAGATTTCATACAATCACAACAGCTTACTACAGAGGTGCAATGGGGATTGTTCTTGTTTATGACATAACAAGTGAGACCTCATTTAGAAATATAACAAAATGGTTTAGAAGAATTGAGGAGAATGCCAATGAAGATGTACAGAAGTTGATAATTGGAAACAAATGCGATCTGGAGAGCAAAAGAGAAGTCAGCAAGGAAAGTGCAGAACAATTTTCTCGCAGGCATGATGTGAAAGTGATGGAATGCAGTGCAAAACAAAATATAAACATAGACAAGGCATTTCAAACTATTACAGAGGATATCCTGAATAAAGTTTGTCCACCTCAGGAAAAGGAAGAACAGTCAGTTGCAAAGAAGAAGAAAAAGAATAAAAACGTAAAATTAAACAAACAGAATAACAATGGTGGTGGCTGTTGTTGATTATGAATGATAAATTAGGACAATGATGGGCATTATAGGGTGTTACCAGTTGGTTTGAAAGAGTTGATGTATAATTTATATATTTGTTTTCAATCCTCACACCCTAAATATCAACAATGAGGTGTAATAACTTTGTTCTAATATTAACAAAGATAAATTATGTATTTTTATTATCACACCAGCTATTACAAGGGCTGAATTTACCACAGATATTCATTTGACACTTTTTAGTTCTAATATATAACATTCAACTTTATTGTTGTAACAATAATTAATGCGTATATTGTAGGTAGTGGGTTGTTTAAAACCTTGAATTATATTTTGATATGTTTATTTTTATTAAAAATTGTATATAGTAACGTGAAGCACGATTTCATGTGATCAAAATATAAGTGAATGGATTAATGGAAATTTAATTGAAATTTGAAAATTGAATAATTTTAGAAATAATCACCTGGTAATCACGTGCAAACTCGTGTGCTCCTGAAGGGCTGAAACTGGAATGTGTGTGGGCGTGTCGCCAATATATGGCGGACTATTTAAGAGCGAGTGCACAATCCTGAAATTATAATTTTGCTGAAGTTTCATAAAGAAATAAGGTAACGTCAAACTGTTTTAAAGGTATTTTTAAAGTAACACAGTGGCTTGTTTCCTTTCTTATGAGTCATCGTATAATGGGAGCTACCAATTCTTGATGTTCTTGCAAAGATATTATGTGGTCTATGTTGACGGAGTTTTAAATATTTCATTTTGATTTAGAGGCGTTTAAAATCAAGGCGAAGCGATGGCAGTCGATCTGTCAAAAATAGCGAACAATATGGTTCGTTCTGTCGCCAGTGGAGAGGTATGTGTTTTTAAAATTTTCTGATGTAACCAATCAATCTTTGGCTCTCCTGCCTCTCCAAATGTGCTTATAACCTTATACGCACCATTAATTTTATTATCAACCATGAAAGTGTTTGTTATATTCTCTATCTCATTCTTTAACAAAATTACCAGCATTGGTCATATTAATAAACTGTTGCTTTTTAATATGTGGTAATAATCTACCATAATCTAGTAAGCTACCATGACAATCCACCATCAATCTCATGGTGTTTGCTACCATCACAGTCCATCATTCACTATAACATGTTTGATGGCATTTTCTACAATAAGCATTATCACATTGCATCAACTATCTTCTGAAGATATCAACCTATAAGGGATGATCATCTGTGCTTGCCATAAACACCAATGATTGACTTTGAGGAATGTTTCTCTCTACAGATGGTGGCAATGAGTAGTCTCTGGGCAAAGAAAACGGCAGTAATTGTATTCCTACGCAGGTTTGGATGACAACTGTGTCGACTGTGGGCGGTCCAGCTGAGTGAGATCAAACCACAGTTAGACGAAAATAACATTGCTCTAATTGGCATTGGCCTGGGTGATGTTAGCTTGGATGAGTTTGTGAAAGAAGAGTACTTTAAAGGAGGTCAGTACAATAAAATATTTGGAAAATTTTCCAAGCTGCAAAAATGGCACTAATAGCCCAGGAATTCAGTAGCTTATTGTGATATTTTGCCACTTTTATATTTTAGACTTATATGTTGATGTGGAGAAAAATAACTACAAAGCTTTGGAGTTTAAACGGTGAGGTTATATTGATATGCTAGTAGAGTCAGAATAAGCTTTTTCATTTTCTAAAAGGTTTTGCTATTCCAAGTGAGTTATATAAGTTTCTCTTAACACTGTCATCCAACTTAAAATAAAGGTACAATGTTTTGTCCATCATACCAAGTTTGGCTACCAAAGAAACGAGAAATGCAGCATCAAAGGTATGGGTACTAGCTAAATATTCACATGGTTTATATTAGATGGCTAGGGTGGCTGGGATGTACATAGCAATGGGGTGGGTGTATAGCATCATCTCAGATTTTTTTCAATGGTTTCTGTAACATTTTTTTGTTGGTAAAAAGGCATTTTTAGCGAATTGTTGATATAATCAACAGGGAATTTTCAGCAAATGGATTTTTATCAATTCTGAACTAGTGCGTAAATCAATATTACACATCATAATGATGTTAAACACTGAAAGCGAATGTTACACGAAGTTTTTAGGCTTTTATTTTGCTGACCAGCATTGCATCATTGCCTGGGAGATGTTCATGCATTTTGAGTTTTGACCATTGAGTTCACTGATTTTGACTGCTTATATTTGTACAGATTCATAACTTGTAAATATGCATAGCGCGACTTGGGGAACTCGACTGAGTTTCTTTTTCTTTTGTTCAAATCTGGCATGTTTGAAACAAAGCTCAATAAAGCGACCTAAAGCATTATTCTGTTCCACATCCTTCAAGCTATTCTGAACAGCTACATGTCTGCGTGTTTTTATGTACCTTCAGGCCAATCTAAAAAAGATTACAGGCAATTTTAAAGGAGATGGCCTGCAGACAGGCGGTTTAATCATAGTCGCAGCGGGCGGTGAGAAAGTTCTGCTTAGTTTTAAGCAGAAATCACCTGGTGATCATGTGGAAAATGACGCTATTTTGAACGCCCTTGGGATTACGTCATCGGGGGCGGAAGCCGTAGGAGGAGCAGATGGTGCAACAAAAGCAGAATCGAAAGAGGATGATGCAACAGCAGGAGACGAGGGAGCGGTGGGACCTAAGGCGGAGAAGGGTGAGACGACAGCAGCAGCTGAAGCAGAAAATAATGAAGGGGAGAAGAAAGAACCCGTTGAAGAGTGTAGCATGGAACCAACGGGAGAAGGTTGCTGAGGATAGCTGAGATCAACTGGTGAGTGTATTGTAAAAATTTGTGACCTTGTTGTATAAGTTGAAGTGAACTACACCTTTTTATACCACCGGACTAGAAAGCGTATATAGAATAGCACAAGAGTTACCAAATTTAATAGTAAATAAATTATTGTGCGTTTGTTGTAGCAGAAAGTTTGCGAAGTCAAACCGACTCGAACGTTTCCATTTATGCAGTTGACTTATTTTTTCTTCTTAGGCGTTTGTTGAAAGATTTCGCGTGCTAGTTGGTCTCTTCATGTTGAAAATTTATAATTAGAAATTGATTTGGTTTCGACTTTTACCCGGTATAATCTAATGACGCAGTTGTGTTCAAAGCTTGCAGGCATAACTGTTGATGAATTTTGTAATTATGCCACCGCATTTAAGTCACTTTAGTTAATTTTCTGTAAGAATTAGAATGATATTGATACGTACGGAACGACACACGGTAGATTTTGTCGATATTCTCTGACCTATTTTATGATGCAATTGAATGCAAAGTTTACTTTTATAAACGGATTTAATTGTTGATGAACTCAGTTCATATTGTCGGACGAAGAACGGCAGATTTGTAGCATTAGTTTCTATATACAAAATTAAAAAAAGCAAAAAACTTTTTTCTGTCGTTGATGATTCATTTGTCGGGGCATTGTTGCTTGTTATTATGGTGTTGGTGAACGAACCAGGAAACTCTGCATATACTGCTGATAAATCAATTATCCATATTTGTATGGCATAACTATCACAACATACAGAATAAGTATGAAAATTTGAAAGGAACCGGCAACATTACTCCTTCAGTGCGTGCAAAAATGCCCATGTTTGGTGGTGAATAATTAACATAATTAGCGGAAGCAACACCCTTTTGAGTTGGATAATTATGAGTCGAATTACAATGTGACTTATGTTAGTGCCGATCAGAAAGGCTAAATTTTTCCATCGTATTCACACAACGAAAGGTTTTAAAAATATAATAAGCTGAACAAGAAGATCTTAAACATGAGCGAGACCAATGAACTAGCTCAAAAGCTTGCCAGAAGAAATCAAATTAACGAGGGCGAAGATGTTCCACGGAATCAACTGGAGGTTTTCAACCCGTATACAGAATTCAAGGAGTTCTCGCGCAAACAGATCAAAGACTTTGAGAAGATGTTTAAAAAGTAAGTAGAGATGGATAATACACTATTAATTTGTTGTAAGGTACTAAGGTTTTAATCCCCGTTATGAGTGAATAGCTATCATGTTCATATTTAACACTGGAATGATTTGTGGCATTTTTGGCATATTGGAATGTAAATTGGGGAAAACACGAGATCAAGCGATAAATTAGACCGTTTCAATCCAATTTTTTACATAGTTAAAAAATGTTTTTATGCTTGTTTAATAGCGTATTAAAACATGTCTTTAGCTCAATACTGTGATTACGCGTAGATTGATTACTGTAGTCCTACTGCGTTTATTAAATTTTGTCAAAACTCATTGTTGGAATCTGTAAACAAGGAAGTTCAGTTTGTGTCTAACGATTCTTACGCGAAATTGCATTTGAAATTGCACTTCTTTTGCTCAAAGTTCAAAGATCGTAAATTACATTACCTCAAAGTTTAATGTTATATAAAATATATTAACTCAGTTAATATTTAAGCAAGTCATTTTAAAAATGGTGTTGATTTCACAGATGGTGGAGACCCTAATTAATACACATTTTCAATAAGAACTTCCTTATAAAGTAGAGCAATTTCCTGGTCTAATTTCTCTTCAAAAATGGTTACTATCTTATTAGATTATTTCCATACAGTCTATGCAGCAATAATGTGTGCTTTTTGAAAACTATCTGTCAGCAATGATGATTTTATTCTTATTAAAAAACCCTGGTGTTTAGGTATGATGTCAACAATGACAAACATTTAGACTTAATGGAAATGAAACTGATGATGGAAAAATTAGAAGCTCCCCAAACACACATTGGTTTAAAAAACATGATCAATGAAATCGACGAGGATCATGATGGCGAAGTCAGCTTCAGAGAGGTAATATTTTGAGGATAGACCACATGAATTGCACAATGCAGCATATTCCAAAACATCCAGTTGAGAATCAACACAAATCGACATTGTATTTTCAGTTTTTGCTGATATTCCGCAAAGCTGCAGCTGGGGAGCTGGTTGATGGTTCAGGCTTAAGTGAACTTGCCAGGTTATCTGAAGTTGATATAAGTGATGTCGGCGTTAAGGGTGCAAAAAGTTATTTTGAGGCAAAAGTAAATGAACTTGCACAAAGTAAGTTGAAACATGATATCATTATATATTTCTTTTTAAATCTGGTGTAAACTCACTTTGAGTGCTTGCATAGTGGTTAGAGACAACAAATGCTTTTAATTGCATGAAAACACATGGGATCTGCAAATATTAGGAGTAAGCAGTACTAGTTGATTGAGACAATTATTTCTCTTAAATCTGTAAAGCATAGTTTATGCAATAGTGGGTTTCAAAGTTTTATTCATGTATTCATACTTTTCATTCAATCTTCTATACTATGGTATTTTATTGCGCTTTTAGGTAACAAATTTGAGGCAGAGATCCGGGCCGAGCAAGAGGAGAATCGCAGAATGGCAGAAGAAGCCAAAGTTAGAAAACAGCAATTTAAAGAGAAACAAGCTGCCTTCAAGTAGGAAAATTGAAAGTAGAAAGTAATGCACACTTCAAATTGAAAAGTAGAAAGTAATGCAGTCAAAAAACAAGTCCTGATTTTTATATTCAAATGAACATAAAGGTTTTGCAAACGACTATGGTGATGGTGAGTTCACCAGTCTCAAAGCTGTTATACAGATATGTTAGAGATTTTATATTTGTCTTGTATTGTTCACTTGTATAAAGTTGCTTGCATCTATGAATGGTAAAAGTTCTGGGGCTGGTTGTGTCAAGCCCAAGACACTGTTTACATATTCAGTGCATAATTTCAATTTATCCACTGTTTAAGCTAAAGAGCTCGATATAGAACTGGCCCCTGAAGTATACCCATGCATGGCAGGGAAAGTGCATGTTTGGTTAAGAGGTAGTTATACTCTGAAACCGTTTTTGTAGATAAATGCTAAAAATAACAGTGCAGATGAATTGAGAGGTTTTAGGGCAATGATCCTTGTGTGTTACTAAATGCAGTATTTTTAAGCCAGTGGTAATTTCCTGTTGCCTTTTATAACAATAATTTAATTATTTTATTTGAAAAGAAAGGTTACAATTAAAACCAAGTCCTGGAGATCTGATTATGGCAAATTAAGATTTGTGTATTTTTCATTAAATTGCTAAATCTTCACATTAGCCTGCACATAACCTACTATACTCCACATCCATACTTTCAGAGTGGCCCTCTAGTGCCTTTATAAAAGCCTTCAGTGGACACAACTTTCCAAACTTTAACTTTCCATTACAAAACTTTAACTTTTTTGTAAAGTCACGTCCATCATATAGCACTCTAATAAAATACTTGTCCATATTTTCTCCTGCAAGTTTACTTCCCAGCAAACCTCCAGCCTCCCAAAGCTCAAACACAATTCTTGAAGCATAACTTGGCCATTGGTTCTGAAAAATGCCCAGGTCAATCAGCAATGGGGCAACAGTAGAGTCATGTGCAGCAAATAGAACCAATCTTGTATAACCTCCATTGGTTATGTGGGTGAGCATTTGTTGTGCAATCTTTGACAGCAGAGGGTGGGCAGCAAGTGTGGCAGTTGCTGTGTATTTTGTCGTTATAAACTCGTCTATGGCTTTCAGGAGGTCCAGTTTTACTGCATCGTCAATGCATCCCCCAGGGCCACAGGGAGGTGGGTGATGATGACATTGGTGTGTAGCAACTATGTCAAACAATCTGACAAACAAAAACAAGTGCAGGTTAAGAATTGAGAACTACTGGTATCCTAAACAGTCCTATTTGAAGTGTAAGATATCTTTGCAGGCTTACTGTGTCATTGTGGGAAGTTTTTGTGCAGCGAGATTAAATCTTTCGGAGATTTTATTAGACAAAGGTCCAAGGCTGCTGGAGTGTCTTTGCTCCTTTTTGATTAGTCGCTTAAGTTCCGGACAAGATGGGATCTCATTGTTTTCATCTTCCCTAAAGTAACCCAGCACATCTGATGATACTTGAATCTTTACTGTTGGAGAAAGATCTGAAATGTTTGCTGCAAAGTGAAAAATTTATAATACTTTTGTTATTTTTGCTTCTCAGTTTTATTGCCTTTACCTTAGCAACCCTGCTTTCTCTGCTAAATTTTCTGTTGTTCCTACATTTGGAAACAGGCCATTGACCTCTGACATTCTACGCAATACTCAACCAAAATAGCTACTCGGTAAAGTTGGTGGTTTCAATATTATATCAATATTATATTAATGGGCATGTAGGATTTGACAAATTTTACCAAACCAAGTTTTTTCTGCTGTTCTATTTAATGTATAATATATAATTTCTGAAGCAATCAATATGCACCTGGGATATTCTTGAACATCCTGTCAAGCATACCAACTAGGAATGCTGCAGCACTCTGCTGAGTTCGTTCAAAAGGGGTTGCAAACACAATTATTTGCTCTTCTTCAACACTAGCAAGGTCCAAGTGAAGTCTTCGTCCATACATATTCTGCATATATTCTCCAAGATATATGAATTGAAGGTAACCTCTTCCTGTCAACTGACCTGGAAATAAATTACTTACAGTGATCTCAACTCTCAAATGGAACATAAGAGTTGTTCGGTCAATGGTATAGGGTTATTCTGTAAAAATAACTTATCCAGATGGCTTCACCAACCTGTTTTACAGATTTTTCTCTCATTCAACAAAAAATCTGAGTCGACTTTTTCTTGTTCCTTTACTTCAACAATTCTCAAAAACTTTGACATTTTCTTCAACATTTGGAGTTTCTGGTCATGCTGCAAATTTGGCGACCTTAGCTCACAATTAAAATGCATCATATTTGGGAAATTTTCTACGATTGATGACCTGTCTCCATGACGAGTGACGACCTGGACTTGCTTCAGTGTAAATTGGGCATATTCCATTGGTTCATTGTGTTCGTTACCAAGCGGTGGTCCTGGTGGATTGCAATAACGTAACAGTCTCTTCCTTATCAAAGACAGTTTACTAGTGTAGCTCTTCTCTGAATGGTATTTCCAAACTGGAAACACACAAAGAAATTGAAAGAATTTACTTCATGTGAAATGTTATATTTTAGTATTTTTACTGCAATCATCGAACTAGTAAAATTTTACGTTGCACAGACAATGAACAACAAAACACGCACGTGCGTGCACCGTGACTGGCGGGACAGTCTGCAAACTGGATTTATTGAGCACCATAATTGCCGTACTCTGCTATATGTGAAGGCTGGACTTTTAGCGACAAAACCTCAGCGAATATTTTAAGGAAACCTACCGGCTGAACTCACGAAAAGGTACGCGACAATACCTAAAGTAATATATAGGAATTTTCTTTTTCCAGGGGCTCGCGAAAAGCGTTGTAATTTCACCAATAATTTACGGAGAGGGTTGCCATTTAGATCCATTTAAATGATTTATTAATAGTATTATTTCAAATTCTTTGCACAATATATGAATTCGAAATCTTGCGGGAGTACTTTTTGCATGTCATTTATTTCACATTTTATTGTCTTTTTTTAAAGAATCGCCATATTTAAATCCTATTGAAATACTTCATGTAACAATTTGAACATAACCTCAATCTTTGATCATTAAAAAATGACAAAACACTAACATTACTCGAATTCACTCAAATTCTTTCTTATTCAGTACAAAAAATGTTTACATAGGTGTTGCTAATTTTCTCCTTTACTTTTTAAGAATATTTTTTACATCTAGGGTAAAAGCTTCACCATTATTACTGATCAACTATGAATGTAATATACCAACATGTGCAAAAATGGCTATACTGTTATACACTGCTACAGTGCTGTGCTTGTTAAAAAAGTCTACATTTATTTCGCGTTATTTATACGCGTATATACTAAGCTAGTTTAGGTTCGAAAACTTCCAAGTGGACATACAAGGGAGACCATGAGTAGATGGTGGGTAATATGGTACACTAGGCGATGTAAGCATCATCCCATTCCAAGGTCTTTTGGTTGGTTGCCCCTTGAGATCCTGCTTCATCCTCTACGGTGTCGAATTTCTCCAGAGGATTCATCGTAACGTTCATCTTCTCCTGTTCACAGCTCTCGCCTTCAGGAGCAGTTTCGTCTTCCTTCTGTGAAACATCTACGTAGACATTTCTTGAGCTGAAAAGTAAAAATATGCTTCTTGGCTGAGCCATCGTCACTTTATGTATGAAAATATCTGGGGAGTGCTACGATGATAACTTCATAATTTCATCATTATGAAAAAGATGAAGATATTGTGAAGAATGATGGTAAATGATGACGATTATGTGGACCGTAATGAATGCCTGCCTGTTTATGACAAACATATTAAAAGCAAGGAATATCCCTCTCTCGTTGTCTCCCGCTTCGCCTTCGAGCTAACGAGGTTTTCCTATAACTTATTTACCTGTGCATGCGGACAGCCACAACGAGAACGATGAAGACGAAGACGCAGGAAGCAGCGACGATGACACCTATCATCACGCCAAATGAATTTCTCTGTTCGTGTGTTTCATGCTGTTCTTTGTCCACCTCAACTGCTCCTGGTAATGCTTCCTGCTCTTGCCGACCCAAAGCTTGCATGTCGAATTGTGGAGTTGTCTTGTCCGTGGTCAATTCTGTTTGCAGGACGTTGCTGACGAAGCGGTTCTTGAGGTTAGATATCGTTATCTGGAAATTTGAAATTTTTTCAGACAAAGGAATATGGAAAGCATGGAACGCAATTGCCAAAGCTTTATCAGTTTATCTGTTTAGCCAAACCGTTCTTTTATTCTATACATTTTTTATCAATGTTTGAAGTTAGCTATTCCATTTGAAAAGCGAAAACACACGATACCTTGAATTTATGACGAACCACTGTTGATGGATTTCGAAGGTCTTCTAAGCCCAAGTGTACAAACACCATCTCTCGAAGTACCATGTTGTACTCTTCTAACGTTGCAAGTCCCCTGATGATCAAACCTTTCCCATCGGGAAGACTGTCCTTCCAAAGATTCAGAAGATCCACGAGGGGTCCAGGATTAACCAAGGCCTCATCACTGCTCAAAGGTGGATCGACTTCTACTCGAGCAGAATCGACATACTTCGAGCATTTGTCGGCAGTGATCGTTAACTTCTTAGCGATGAGAATTCCATACTTCTGTAAGTCTTTCAGATCTATTACTTTCCGGCCGCCTCCAGATAACTTCAAAGCTCTTTTCTCGTTATCCGAGACGAGAACATCCAGATTAAGCATGGGCAGCGGTTGATTGTTTATCGTAGTTTTGATCTGCAATGGTCTACGGCCACTGGTCGGAGAGCGTCGGGTGTTAACGTAGACTAGATTTCGAAGAATGTTTTCGAAGTTTTCCGGTGTTCCCCGGCCATTGATTTCAATAACTTTTTGACTCTTTTGTGTGACCTCGAAACCGCTCGGCGCTGGACTGTCGATCTTAATCTGTTCTTTGCATTCGTAAACGCAGTTGATAGCCTGGAATGGTGCAAATGATTTAGCTATTTTGAACCAGGCAATCTCCTCAATTCAACCAGGCAATATCGCCTTCATTGAAACACTGCAATGACTAGGATCTGATCGTCTCTTTCGCTACCCAGCAATACAATTGTACACCCAGCTCTGTTACACAGAGCAGTCCATTTTACCCCGTATAACCTCACCTGTTCATCGATCTGTTCCCCAAAGTTCACACTCAATCCACCAAGGTATCCATCAAAGTAGTCGCCATACCTTTGTTCCCGCCCTAACCAGCGAGCACCAACCGTAACACGCTTTGCCATGTTTGTCCCATGTAGCGGCCAGTTCTCCTTCTCATTTTCGAGAGCAACCTATAGTTGAGATCGATCGAATATTATTCTATATTAATGCCACTCTAAGCATGTTATCGTTGAAATCAACTGAAACTCCAGTCCCTAACCTTCCCTATTATTTCTACTGAATATTACTACATTCTCTTACTTGTTTGGAATCGACATAAAGTTTTGCAGTCTGACATCCATTCACCGTGACGACCACGTGATGCCAGCGAGTGTTGAATATATCTGGTTTCCAAACGAAGACAGACTTACAGATATCTTCAGAACCAGCACTGGATTCTTGACGATGTATGAAAACAAGTTTGTCATCTGAGAGAAAAGTGCAAAATCACACATCATTTTGTAATACAGCCAGTGGTCTTAAACACCCAAATAACCATCGGTTTTTAGTATCCAGCATGGTAACCACCCTGCCTTAGTTACCTTCAGTGTACAGGGCAAAGTGTTTTCGGTCCAGACGCTGCGGGTCCGTAGCAGAGAGTATATATTGCTGTTGATCTTTCTTCGGCATCCAAATCCATGTCGCTATTGTCATGTTTTCATTTCCTGTGTACTGCAGGAGGAATGACGGAACATCAATGGCTGTCTTATCGTCGAAACGATAAACATTGTCACCTGAAATTACAAAAAAGTTCGCCCTACTTCAAGCAACTTATATAGCAAAAATTGATCAGTCTATAAGCATTCGTGTCATCATTACCAACATTATGGTCATCTTTATTACCATCTCACCCGCCCAACACCCAACCCACACCATGCCCCACCCCGCCCAACTTAAATACCAACCTATAACAAAGTCGTCTCTCATAGTTCTCCCCAACCAAGTCTCCTCACGATAATTTGCCGGCAACAAATCCATAGTCCTGTTAACGTTGCACATTTTGAAAATACCCGATGCTTCGTACGTTTCTCTGTCGCAGCCTTTTAGGACATGAGCGGTCTCCAATTCAACCCGCGCGGAGAAGTTGGCGTACTGTCGGCTCTCGCCGCACATATTGAGGCGAATATTTGGTGTGATTCGGACCATGCCATCACAGCCATTCAGTTCAGGTGATTTGTTCTCAAGTTCCATGAAACCTAGCGAACAAAATATTTTGCTGGATTGACAAGTTGTATTGTCTTTCAGTCGGCATTCAGCCAGTGCTTCTTGCAGTTTAGAAAAATTTTCATGGTCCCAATAATCCCAGATTATATCGAGTTTAATTTTGAGGAATTGAAAAGAGTCTTTATGGAAGGAAATAGATACATGCTAACATCACTTTCAACAAAAATCAATGCCAAACGTTTTTGTTCATAACCACAGGTAAACACAGTCAACCAAACTATTTATTATCATGGACGCAATGTACTTATGACCTATATATAATCTGACTTCAGCAACAAACCTGGAGTACAGTCCTTATCCACGATAACATTCACTGTGGTAGCTTCCTCGGAGATGCGTCCTCCACAGTCCTTGGCCATGACGGTGAAGACAAAGGTATCAGAAGCATCATTACCCAAAGGTTTTGGCAAACTGATCACACCTTTGTTGTTGATGCTGAAAGGCATGTCGGATGTGCGAATGAAATATTCGCAAATATTGCCAAAGTCTTTGTAAGTGTCACCGTCTTTGGCTTTGACCTAAAAACGGCAGACCATTGGATGAATTTCTCCGGTGATATGCACAAGTCGTCATGATAAATAACTTCACCCTGGTGGAGTAAATCTTATATAATTATATAGCTCAGTACCTGAACAATATTCGAGCTCACTTTGCCCTGTTGCACGCGACCGACGTACATTTTCTTCTTAAACACAGGAGAATGTCTGTTCTGTGGCACAACTAGACAGTGGATCTTGATTGGTGGTGAATTCCTCGGCGGAGCACCATTATCCCAGGCTTGCAATGAAAATTTGTACGCAGCCATACGCGATGCATCAAACTTGTATCCTCGTGCTGGTTTCACAGTCACGATGCCTTTAAATAAAATGGAGATTCTATTGAAGTGACATGCTTTTTTGGCTAGTAAAGATCACAGATTTCATATATATTAGTGGTAGAGGCAGTATACGGTACAACGTTGATCATGATATTCTAGAGAGGACAAAACTGTGAAATATCTCAAACTTTCTTCATCAAATCATTTTGATAAAATCGCAACAAATCTTACAGTTTTCAAACTACAACCATCTTACCATGAAAAGCGGTTGTGTAGTTAGTTCAACTATTCTTTGACAACATACCTGTTGCTTGCTCGAGTTCAAGAACAAAAGGTTCATCGCTTTCCCTCACTTGCACCTGTGAAATCATTCCTGCAGGCCCCGGGTCCATATCAGCCGCCCTAATTTGCGGGGAGATCTTAATATGACCGGTTTCCTCCTGGATACGACAAAAATATTTCTCCTCGTTGAAATGGGGACGATATTGATTGTGTTGTAACACGTTGAAAATAACCCAGGTTATAGCTTTTTGGTTCTTGCATTTTCCGTTATTCGCATTGGCTATAACGACGAAAGTATGTTGGGTATTCCTTGTATAGTTGAGTCTTCCTCCTAGGGCTATCTTGCCAGATTCAGGGTGGATAGTGAAGAGGGAATTATCTCGTATGGTGTAACTGACTCCTTTATTCCCACAGCCAACAGCCTTCACTATCCCTTTAGTGAATCCAATGCCATGGTTCTCTTTGATTTGGAACGTGAATCGCGTATGCTCGAACCTCAACATGCTTGGCAAACGATCTAGGAAAGCAAACAGCGTTCATTTTTATGCAGCAGTAATCCAAATCACTTTCTGCTAATATAGGGACTTTTGTAGAAATTTTCATTTATTGACGGATTTTTGTTCACATGCATATTGATAATATTCTAGGTCTCACTATTTTGATTTGCTGTATTGTTGTTTGAGGTTATGCCATGCACGCAGTGTATTACTTCACTATTGTTTAATAAAGATACACTCTGCAGGCAGGATATTCATGTATTTGGTTTGTGTTGTCTTTATATTACATCTTTGTCTTTTTTCATGTACGATTTTTGTTTGTTTCTTCCTTTTCGTTTCGCTTTAATTGTCAAACCTGCTGCAATACGTCACTGTTCAGTGTACGTCATTGCCGTTGGCTGATTTTTTTCCACTTAGAATTTGTCGGGTCGATTCGAATGCACGTTAATAATGTCTGTAATATACGTGTAAGCGTCTGAATGGCGACATCATGCGTCCAGCAAAAGCCAAAATCGGTCCGACAAATCATAAAAGTGTGGACGTGGGTGTGCACTATGCAGGATTGAAAAGTGCTTTTCACCGGTGTCTGAGAGAGAGAGTCTTATAGAAATATTCGACAGGAGCATTGTGACGAATCCTCTTCGGGCTTTTGCATGTAAATTTTTATTGATGGACTTGAACAATATCTTCCATTTTAAGAATTTCCGGGGCAATGACAAGAGATCCGCTGGCATAAAGGAAATTGGCAATATCCAACATCCTCCCTTTGTATCCTTCAAATCTTGGTAAAAGGGGGGTATAACCTGTGACGCCACGTTTCTATTCTTATAAGCATCTACTCTGCCAGATTTATCTATCTATTCTTCATCGTCGGTCGCTTAATGTACAACAAACAAATAAGTCAATTTTAACTGTTGTTGGGTAAATTTTGTAAGAAATCTGTGAAAAGCGATCGGTAACGATCGGTAGACGGTACAACACTCCCTTGATGTGATCTGCCGATTTTAGCGCCTGTGTGCGCACGATAAGATTTAGGTTCGCGATAATTGCCATGCGGAGATTATAGTTATATGAAAATATGGATTCTATAAGTGAAAATAATGAGACGCTGTATAATTAGGATTGCTATCTCTTGAATTGACAAACACTTTGAACCACAAGTACGATGAACACAATTTAACGCAGATTATTATGAAGACACGCTACTGCAAGTAAATAACGTCTTATTTCAACTTTTAGTTACTTTGCAACTTGGCATGTTTCGAAATTTTTCAATCTCTATTTAAAAAGTGCCATTCTGTGACAATATTCGAGTGTCCAAAAAAAACAACAATATTGGAGAGGTGTGCTTATACAGCACGCTACTTTACCATGTTTTGCAATCCCTTTTAAGGTCCTTTTGAAGTGGTAGGAAGGGCAAAGTAAACGTTAGATCCCTGCACAGTTTTAAACAATCGATTACACGGATAGTTTTGTCCTGTTTCTTGTTACAAAAATAAACTATGATGCAAAACATTATTATACTTTTCGTGGTCAATCATGCACAAGAACATTACCGCTGTATTGATCAGCCTAATATACAAAAAAATCTTAAAGTAAAGTTTACAATAGTATCATAATATATTGCTCAAGACTACCTTGATTCATTAGATGTAAAAAATTAACGAAAATGAGAAGGTTTAAAACCACCCCATTGGGCTCGGCTGAGCTTGTTTCCCTTGATGTTAGTAACAGGAACATGCTATTGACAATAAATTATTAACTAACCAGTCTTAGCAAGTTAATATTAAATTCGAATGATTTCCGAGTAGAAATTCTAAAATATCAAAAGATATAAAAGGCTACATCGTTTTGTATCGTCTAGTTTCTTCTTCGGAAAAAACCCTTAACTTCGGAATTTGAATGCCCTCATATCTGCGAACACGCGATGTTTTAAACACAGTTTATCAAGCTATTCTAAGTCCATCACAAAACAATAAACCACATCAACTACAAAAGCATTGTTTTGCGATGCTTTATATACTTGTAGACCTCAAACAAGAGGGATACAGAAGATGAAGGGGCATATTTCTTTTAATCCTTACACGCAAATAGGTTGAGAACCATTGAGCATTTCATACAATTCGGGACAGAACTGTTTCCAATATGTAATTCAATACACAAGGAAAAGGGACAAAGATGATGATATTGTTGAAAACATTTTGTTTGAAAGAAAGTCTAGATTCGTTTGAAACAAATAAAAGAAGGAGGAAATTGCTACATTTTGAACCGAATTCGGTTCGATTGTTGCAATCAGGTTACAAAGACGGCGCCATACTTGCATATTTGTTGGCAAAATATGTCAAATTTGTGAGCGCTTTAAAGAAGTTATGATCAATATCTACCTTGTAAATTGTTCCCAGAAGCAACTGCTAAACAAAAGGCAAGGAATAGGTTTGAAATCTTTGGAATTCCCATAGTTTTACGGTCTTTTAAGTTATAAATTCTGTGTCCGTGTTGACAGTAGACTTTGTTACGCTAACCCCCTCGAAGGCGCATACTAATAACTTGATATTTCACTCGGGTGAATATTTAACTAAGGTGAGGTGAAAATTAGCATAATTGCTATCACGTGTTACCCCACCTCGTCGGGTTCCTTTCGATGCTATTTGCCAATTTGAAAGGGCCCTAAGAGCAATTACCGCTTTCGCAACTTTCGCTGTATTAGTTGACTAAGGAGGTAGAGTTGTTGTGTAAAAATAGCCAGTAGACTTCCGGAAAACGTTACTAACTACTCTTGGTTGCGATGATGAGGCAGAGGGTATATTCTTTACATATATGGCACAGCCACAGTTCTTCACCCAATACAGAGGAAAACACCACACATAACGACATCTTGATCTTGTATTACCAAGATATGCATGACAATTATTCGGACAGGAAAAGAATGATAAATGTCAGTCGGAACCATTAAAATGCTCAAGACAATTTTGGAAAAGTTTAATTTGAAAAATTTAATACATCACTATTCACTAGAGCCTGTGTTTCTTCGCTTTGAACCTATCCTACTAAAGCTAAGTGTCTGTCCGAGGCTAGCGAAAAACCTACAGTATAGCCCTTAAACATTTCCCCAGTCCCAGTCAACATTTATCAAATTCTGTACAAGCACCATTAGTTCATAGGCAATTCAATGTTCTCACAAAATCAAGTCTAAAAATTAGTAGCGAAAAGACCGAATTATCTTTGAGCTTTTTCCACCTGAGATCCAGCGACTGCCAGTAACTTTTCACCAGTACCTTAAAAAAAATTGTGAGAGGTTATGAAAGTTACAGTGCATATACGGTTCTATGAAAATTTCTACGCAAGTTGTCATAGATCGTTGAAAGACAGAATCACCAGAGTATCATATCACTAAAATCAGCGAGGTGCAAATCATTTGAAAACGGTTTTTTAGCTTAACTTACCCATCGATTCTGATATTCGTTCAAATTCACTGAGAGCAGCGCTTGAATTTTTCGCCAAGAATTCAACCTCTCCAGGTTTCAGCTATACATAAAGATTGATAAGAGAAAAAGAAGTTGACTCCGACAATTTAAAAGATGCTTATACATAATATACAGTTGTTTCACTCGCTTGACGGTGGCCTGGAAAGTATTTTTTCACGCGACGCTAGTAATCGGATAAAATAATGTACCAAGATCCAAGGCAATGGTTTTCAAAAGTTCTATATGATACATTATATCTGCAGCGTGCGATCGTTCATAGTCCAGAATGCGACTGGTGTAATCGCTATGAAATTCGAGATTGTTAAAAAATCCTGTCCACCTACAGTTTCTCCTAACTTTTTTAAAGCTGTGAGCATTTCGACTGCTTGTTGGGTGTAAACATCTTCACTAATGTGACCAGTTTTGACATCTCTTTGTAACTACGAGAATAAGCGAAGAAGATATGTACATGAGCATGACTAATACCACAGTTAATACTCATCATGATAGTATAATATCACACACATTAATCAATTGATTAATATACCTCAGCCAATCTGTTCCTGAGTTGGCCTGGTTGTTTTTTAGCAAACATTCGGATCACTTCAGGAGTTTTGAATGCATCGCTTATTGCTGCTTGCAGGGCCTATGGCAATAATTAACTTGTTTTTCGTCTGATTCAAGAGGGTCATGTGTAGAAGTTGTTGATGGATACAATTAGTTAAAAAATGTTTTCATTGCTCTCATATATGCAGACTGATATTTCTCCAATTGGTAAAAAAAAGCTTTACCAGTTGCATGGCACTAATTTCATCAATCAAGGTCATATCTCCTGCAGCAAACTTTACAAGAGATTCTTTGAATTCCTTTAGTTGATCTACGGTCTCTCTCTTCGTCTCTTCATATTCATCTGGATCTAAATCATCTCTGTTGATCAAATGAAGATAATGATAACACAAAACCAATCAACAAAATATACACCACAGGTAGTTCTTTATTCAGTCCATGTTGACACACACCTACATTCTTCTAAGTCTGACAACTGTACCATCAACCTATCAAGTTGTTCTTCAAGATTCTTCTTAAGTTTCTCAGTCTCGGACTTTCCTCTTGAAGCCATTATTGGATCAACTCTTAGATAAGATACAGGAATGCTGTACAATGGTGGTGATGCTTTTTTGAAGCATGTCTTTAGATGATGATAATATTGGTAATGATGGCAATTACAGATATTGATGATGATGGTAGCTCGCAGATATAGCAGTGTTATCATGATGATGCCAAATATGGATAATAGTAAGAATGATAATAGCAAATTATATTGATTGTATCGACAATGAGGACTTTCTATTATGAAAATACTGTTCACAGATTTCGATACATATTTTTGCAGGTGAAGGTCAGAAAATACTCCACCATATATATGATAGAATATAATAACGAATCAAGGCTCTCCTTACCTCTTAAAATGCCTCTTATCAAATTCTAAATTTTGTTTACGAATATATATAATATGTATACTTTATACGTACTTTATTTACATAATAATTGTGTTCGACTGTTCGATTCCTACCGTCGATTTCCGACGTATTCCGAACGAACCGGCCCGAGTTTTCCACGTGCCTGATTTGCCCGATCCGCATCTCGTGGCCTTCCTTTCCCACGTTGCGTAAAGAATCGCAATTTTTTCAAGATAAAAGGTAAGAAATTGAAATATCCTCTCAAATTTTAGGCTATTGGGGACCCGATCTCCGCAATAGACTTCGATAATTGAGTCAATATTAACCTGGAAAGTTTAAATGAGTGCGATAAGGCATCAAAGTCTTCCTATAAGAATTGTAAAACCCAATTTCCATATGTGATTGTAGAATAAGCGTGTGTCTTTGAATGTTACATCAAATTCGGATTGTTTTCGTTACTTTCGTACATAATTATGGGTACAAATTGAAGATGAAACAATCGCTTTTCATTAATTTAAGTTAGTTGCAGGAATGTGCCAGATTAGCAGAGAATTTTAGTGCGGTGTAAATGATTTATTGCAATCGGGTTTCTTGATTTGGGTAAAATGATCATTTCGTTTGCGTGATGGTCAAGAGATGAGTTGATATCGGTCGTAAAATGCGTATGTAAATCCATCGATCGCCCGGAATAAAAAATTGGGGAAAAGTGTTATTTTCGTTTATGATCCGGAGAGGTTTTTGTAGAGTTCGTACCAAATAGCCTTAAAAAACGGGTGGGGTTTAGTTTAGTACAAATAATACTGATCTCTGATCAAAACTGGATAGTTGAATATTCAGTGCATGAGTAAAAATAGTCAACCAAAGTCTTTCCTATTGGGATTTATGTGATTTATGCAGGGACTATACTTTTCCATTGTTAGAAATTTTGGTGCGATCTTTCATTATGGCTGACGAGGATTTTGAAGGTGGAAGCTCAGGTGCCTCAGACACCTACCCTGCACAGTGCTCCTCTCTCCGTAAGAATGGCCATGTCATGATTAAAGAACGTCCCTGCAAAATTGTTGAGATGTCAACATCCAAAACTGGAAAACATGGACATGCAAAGGTATGAAATTTTTTCAGTTTAACCCTAAGTGACTTTTCCTGCTCCTCCAGAAATATTGAAGTTCTCTAAAAACTCAGAGATGCACTCAATTGTTGCTTGTTCCTGAAAAAGAAACTTTTGTTATTATCTTTTAAAGTTATTTTTATATATATTATAATATTTTTGCCTGTCCGCTCATAAATATGCCCGACTTATGGCTCTGACCTGTTGATAGTGTGCATTAGCAGCTAAGGGTTTGGTGAATTCAGCCCCTCTATTTTTACTGTGGTGTGATTTGAATTCTGACTTTTTAAACTTATCTTGTATATGAGTTCAAGTTATTTTTTCAAAAAAAATACCAGAAATTCCTCATTTATATTTTTGTGCAAAATTCTAATAAAAATTATCTAGTATTTCATTCTATATTTTTATAAATTTGGCCAAAAAAACAACAATTTCCTTCATGATTTGAGCACCAGTTCTCACCCAGGTACACTTGGTCGGCCTTGACATTTTCACTAACCGCAAGTATGAAGATATCTGTCCATCCACTCATAATATGAATGTGCCAAATGTCAGCCGCAAAGATTTCCAATTGGTCAATATTGAGGAGGGCTTTGCTCATTTGATGGATGATGCTGGAGATGTGAGAGAAGACCTCAAAGTTCCTGATTCAGATTTAGGAAAGGAAATACAAATGAAGTTTGATAATGGGGAGGAGTTCATGTGCACAGTTCTTAAGGCTGTTGGAGAGGAACAGATAATTGCTTTGAAGGCCTCAGCTAATAAGAGCAACTAACCATTTGAATGTTGGGTTTTTCTCTCGAATGAGGAATTAAAAAACTATTTTGACTTTTGATCATTTTGCGTTCAATTTTATGTTTTGAGATGGATGACTTTATTTTGTTTTATGATAATATTCTTTCTTTGGATCATTTCATAAAAAAAATGCCTGTGCACTTGCCAAGTTAGTTGAAGTGTCTGGATTGAAAGTGATGTTTTCAAACTAGTGGGTTGGTTGTATTATGGAGTGCTAATACCAAAGAAAGAAAGTTTTTTATTACCTAATACTAACTTAATGTAACTGCATTATTATTAAATTGTATGTTAGGGATAGTGTGTATTTACCAGTTTAGGAAATAATCTCTGGGGCAAATGCACAGGCATTTTGAAAACGATTATGTAAGTGAGGTAAACCATAATATAAATGTAGCTCTACTGGCGATACTGCTCTCTGATATATTTTCTCTGGTTTGAAAATCGCTGTACTAGAAAATGTAGACATTGTTTTGCAGTTGTTTGCAAATAAATTGTTAGATTTGTCCAACTGCTCCAAGGGAATGCAATTGATTGAATTGAATAAAGTGTCTTTCGTGAACCAGTAGTTTTATAGTAGTTTTTTCCATTTTTCTTTGGGTAATATAAATAGTCCGACATAGCAACTGAAATTATATTTATTCTATCTTCTCTTTACAAAATGACGTTAGAAAATTAAGCTATTGGCGTAATGCTAATTTTGGCAAGCCGTTTGTCAACAACGACTGTTTTGTGCAAGCAAAGCAAGTGAGCATAAATTGAATTTGTTAATAAACTGTTGTTTCCCAGGCAAGACCGTCGTTCTGAAGGCCGCAAGGTCGCCGAAATTCCTGTCCATGTGAGTGAATCCACTTGTTGGAAACTATTAAAAAATGAAATGCCGGTTAAGCTAACCGAACAACCTGCCCTTGGAGCATTTCTGTCCAATCTCACTGTGGTCCGTGACGCACACAATTCGTGCGTACGTTACCGACCCGTTTTAATACGTCTTTATTCTGTTACCTTACCCCATTTGGATCCAACGATGACAGGGCAAGCTGCGTGCCTTGTAGACGAGTCTCCTGCCCCCGACCTGCGGAGGTTGTACCAGAACACTGCATCACCCTGGGAAAGTTTCATGAACATACAGTTTGAGCATTTCACTAAATGACGCTCATTCAACAATTTATGGAGTTATTCTCTCGTGAGTCGGGTAACTTTGTCCTAAATCATTTCCTCGCTCAAAATGAATGAGGCGTGTACGCGTATGCGGGTGATTATTAGCTGATGCGATTCAATGAGGTTGTACTTAGGTTATTTCCCAAACTGTTGAGTTGTTTTTACGTTGAATTTCTTCTTAAAACTACTTGATTCGTTGTACCAGAACACTGCATCACCATACGCAAGCGTTTACCTCATGCACCCAGATAGCAGAGAAATTGCTCTCAGTACTAATTGTTAGTTGAAGTTTTAGATTGACTATTACATAATGCATGTACCTTGGATGGTTTCACTATTGCGTTTGCTCTCATAAAAACTGTGTATCCACCTGATTCAACATCAGACATCTAAACAAATAGATTTAACATCGCATACAAACCGCACTAAAAACAGAATTGAAATTGAGCTTTGTTTAATATCAAATGCACGCTCGTCCAATACCCACATAAATGAGGAACGTAGCGAGGCGGTTTCCTTTGTGTATTCTTAAAATTGATGCTTTGGGATTCTAAAAATATGAGTGTCATTAAACGACTGATGTTGTTCAATACATTAAAAAATAGCATGTTGACTGAAAATGAATCAGTAACTTACTATAGCATGATCCCAGTGTGGTTCATAGTGACCTCCTATACCATAGTTTGCAACCTGAAAATAGACATTATCTGGTTCTTTAATTCTGGTTCGCTAAGAATAGATTAAGTTGTCGAGCATCAGAGCTCAAGGTAGCAAATAGTGAAATACGTCAAACATTCGTTGCTGCATGCATGGGAAGAAATCGGGAGAGTTATGTTATATCTATTCTATATACGAGTACAGTAAAAGGATTATTTACGAAACGACGATAAACGATTATGTGACCTGCATTGCTTCAGCTGATTCAAGAATCGTAGATAAACCAGTCAAACTGGAAATTCTTTTGCTGATGCGATCTACCACTTCATTTTCGTAATCTTCCAACCAACCTCTGACAGCCGGAAAACACAAGCATTTAATAACTTGACTAAGCTATATATATGTACTATTGGATCCGTTAACACGCACTGATTAACATTCAACCGTTCCTATACCACCAAATACCAGCAAAAGAAACATAATGTATGCAGTAACATACGTTTTGCTTACTCTATATTTGGCAAACTCCAATTTGCCTGTCGCTAAGTTATTGATCGTCGCTCGTCGCAACTATTAATAAAACACAAAATATGTTTCGATCCTGTCTGATGGCATTGGTAGTAATCATTATCCTATTTATATCTGCATTCAACCACACTTACCCTTGGTGTAGCTAGCGTCTTCACCACTTTGATTTCCTCATCAGTGATTATATTAGAATATTTAACAATCCTTGGTTTTAAATTGAGAACCTCGATTTTGGCTGGTTTTATGAAAAGTTTTGGCGTGCTTCTGTCATAATAGCATGTCAACAATGCGAGTTCTTCTGCTGTCTAAATAAAAAGAATCGAATCGGTTCTTTAAGAGAAGGGCAGGTCACTACCCACGGACCACGAGCGCAGCTTATCTATATAATGTGTCACAATATCAACCTTTATTACCCCCCTCCCACAACACACATGCCTAAAGGTTTGAGCAAATTGCTCCACCTGCCCCCAACCCCATGAGGGGCGGTGGACAGTGAACACAGTCACAGTGAACAGTTCTCAACCTTATTAGTTTGCCCACGGCAAAGACTGCTGTAAATATCCATGTAAGGAGGTCTTTTCTTCGTTTGTGCTTGTTTAACTTCGTGTTTTTCAATTACAAGTTGGAAGAATGCTTTGTTTTCTTTCGCGTTCTTGTTGTCTGGTTCTAAAAAACGAATATTATTGCTCTCGATATTGAAATGTTCAGTGGCACTAACAATAACGATGATGGCGATATAATCAATCTGGCTGTAATCTGACGGAATCGACCAGGGACCAAAAGGCAAATATATACAAACCTTTTTCTAGTATTTCATTTGTGATTGACAATGCTTTATAAGCAAAACCAGTCTAGAGAAATGAAGAACTTTTTCAATAACACGCAGTGATCTTTTTACTGCATGTAATTACATTCTCCTTTTTTGAGCATAATGCTGTGCGATCAGTGGTCTTTCAAATATATGATTTTCTTTAGTGTTGGCAGTTGGCGGGCGTTTTTGGGACCTGACATTGTTCAAGATGCCAGGTTTACTGATAAAAGGCTATTCGAACGTGGTTTGTGTTTTAGTGGTAACAAAAGCCGATTATCAAAAGCCGGGCCGTGTTAGGAAGGTTTGCAGGTCACTTGGGCTTTATATCGGCACGTCATAACTTTCCGATGTATCTCCTGGATTATAGTTAAACTGACAGACCGCGTTCGACGTAGATTGGGGAATATATATTTACCTTAGTGGAGTTGAATCTTTGAGATGTCTAGGTGATTAAAATAGATGATAGATTAAAGTAAAGAGATTCAAGCGAGGCGATGTCAGAAAACTGTGCTCGACGCCTGAACCTCTTTGGGGACAGCCGAAAAACATGATCTTCCTGAAAATTTTCATCAGACTCAGCTTCACCGCGGCCGGAGAAGAACTTATCCATATTCTCACTCACCTCATATTCACACCAGGCAATAAACTCCTTCAGCACTGTCTTCGTGAGGTAACTACTGTAGATTGTCGGTTGGAATTTTCTCAGTCCTTCGATCATCCATTCCTTGGCTCTGGAGTAGTCTTTGTCGTGATAAGCGATTAATCCGACCTGGAAACAATCCTCTGTCTCCATCTTTGCGTGTGGATAGTTTGAGGAAAATTTCCTTCGGCAAAGTCTTGTGGTCGAAGATGATAAATTTCTTGCAAGCGAAAAATACCTTCGACAGCACCAACTAGGTCTTCATATTGTGGAAAAAGAGGTAGGTGTAGGTTGATACTTTTGCTTAATTCTATAAAAATGGTTTGCAAATGATTTAATACATGCATCATGCATGTTCAGCTAGTTTTTACTTTTGTTTCGCCTTTGCTGACAAGCCGGAACTATTGAACTTGTCCACCCGGTTAAATCGTTTCACAGCCTGCTGTAAGCAATGGCTGTAAGTGGAGGTGGAACTTTTTACTAATGGAGGAACTTGTGCTTCTTGCGCTGGGCATCAACTATATTACAGCATAACATTCTCCACTATTGCATCACAAGCTCGCTTGGATACAGATACTTTTAGTTCTGGTTTAGCTACGTTGAAAGTCGAGAAGTGGAATGATAAGTAGAAAAGAAAAACTGATGAGTAAAGAGAAACAAAACGATAAACGAAAGTGGGAAAGCTAGGATATGCTTGTGCTACGCGTGAGCGATTAGCTTAACCTGATTAAGCAAGTGAACATCTTGGTCATAAAGACAATGCTATGGACACATATGTGCTAACTTATACTTATGCTTACTCATTCCATTCAAGGCCAGTGAAGACCTACCTGACTTAGTGTCATCGTTTTTGACGATCTCATCAACTTCCAACCAATCTGAAGTGAATCTCTTTATCATCAACAAACCATTCACTGGATGTGACACGAATCTCTCGTGGCCTTTCGCCGCTTCCAAAGTCCACGGTTTTACTTTGCGAAGGAACGTCTTCAGATCAATCATCCTTGGAAAATCATCGCCTTTATCCACAATGAACTCCTCCAAATGTCTCACGAAATTTGTCTCCATTCGAATTAACGTTTCCCATTGGCTAAGCGCGGTAAAAACCTCGCCATCGATAATATAACTCTGTCGTAACAACGAAATGACGGTCAATAGCGCTACGAATGTTGATGAAAAAAGCGAGAATAATTTTCTCTCCCGGAAGTTAATGTTCGCCATTGAAAGAATAGTTTATTTTGTACTGACTTCGTCTTATTTAATTGTATAAATGCCTATATTTTGGTTTCGATTTCTCTGTGAATATGAAGCTTCGCTTTTGACAGGGCAATGAAAAGTTCTGATTTTGTTTTGTTATAATAAACAACCTGCCTCGATACCTGTTTAAGATGGAAAGAATCGTGTTGTGTTATCTAGAATTATACGTGCCTTAACTCACATTTTGACAAGTTGCCTATTGCAGTCGCGTCCGTGATGGCAAACCAAATATTCAAGCATAAAACTAATAAACAGTTTTACACATGATTGCGGAGGAACTTTCCGAGTTGTGACTCGACTATTTCATGTTTTCAATCGACTAACTTCAAGTTATTTCAGTAGGTAGCACAAAAGCCGGGAGTCGTTTTATTCGACAAGATCATATATTAACACTCTCCCAACTGAAAAGTCGGAATATATCTTTATCAGCCATTCAAATTGGCTAATAATTCTTAGTTTCAGTTAAATGAGGGCCCCCGACTTGTTTGGTCGACGACATAACAATATGATTATCAACAGGTTATAGTTGCATTAGAAAATATACATGCCCGACGACTAAAAAAAACTAGAGAACTCGGGAGATTTTCGTCTCGTCAGATTGAGGAAGGAAATGAAGATCTCAAAATACAGATCGGCAGGCGTCCTTCATGTTAATCAGTACGATCAAGTAAAAAAAATGTGGCTAGAGTAGAGATCACCGAATCCCTGGATATGTACATGGAAAAAACTCTCACTTTGTCCTAAAAAAACAATATACATGTATATAGTAATTGCACTATTGTGTGTTATGGATGTAAGGTTTTCGCCTTACTTCAACGAATTCTTTAGCTTCATGTATAGAAATGCCTAGCAACTCGCTTCTAAATCCGTATATCACTGAATCTATTTGTATAATTGTTAATAATTCTACGCTGTACAAGCGTACTGTCTATAAACAAAGTTTGATTAACTGCAATAAATTTGTTCTATTAAATAACTTATAAATACTTTTGATATCTATATATCTCTTTCACAAGAAACAAACATCCTAAAGACGACGCGTTTGTCTAATGAATACTCCCATTTTTGCTTTCAAAAAGCCTTTGTCTTTTTCTCGTTATATATGCGTAGGCAGGTAAATCCTACGTCTTTTGGCAGCCAAAACAAAGGATTTATGACTTTTGAGCTATTTTATACCCGGAATTAGTCAACAACTTTAACTTTATACTAGTTATACACTCCAATATGCTGGCTTTAAACGGCAAACGATAGCTTCTTTTCACAAAAATTAGGGGAAGATTTAATATATTCAGTGTTATAATTTGATTGCGGCTACCAATCACTCAACCTATTATATCGACTAATAGCGTCTTCTTTTGTAATACAGCGGTAAGATTTCAGCCTTGCATGAAACTTTTTCTTTCAAAACAAAACCAACTATAGCTGCTTAATTTCGTATAGCGGTTTATTTACGGTTACACGTAACTTTTGATTTTCGACATCGCCTATTTCGTTTCGGATTCAAAAACAAATCGTTCAACACGGATGAATGCCGTGTCGTCTTTGTGCATGGGTGAAATTTGCTAATGCTCAGATACTTGCATAAATTAGTCGATCTAAATATTGTTGTTAAGACTCGACCGATATAATGACACAACATGAATTGGTTGCTGCTCTATAAAGATGAGATGGTGAAGCTTTTATTATCAACTTCAATCATAGATCATGTTTGAATGGTTATGTACACCAGGAGTTAGTGATAGCACATAACTGTTTATACCATGAGATTTTACCAGCTCTTTTCAGTGATTTTGATATGCTGGAATGTTCGTGCTTCTTTAGACAGCGAAGGCAGTGGTATAAATCACGGTATGTTACTTCGTTTTACTAAAACTAATACATTCTGTATACATATAACTGACCTAAACGAGAGTTACAAGTTTTCTTCCTTGAGGGTTTAGTAAAATACACAAATGTACAGCTTTTAACACTTGGCCAGACATTGTAAATATACCGACGGATCCTTCTTATAAGCTTACGTATAGCGCTACGTATCGCCATTTTGACACTAAGCGGCTGAATAAAAAGATATATACCGGCCTAGATCATCGACCAAATATTTGATTTTATATATATATCTATATACAAGTAAAACAGTACTTGACCAAGAAGCTTTATCGGTAATTTGGCTGATGTAAAAACATCAACAAGTGGACATAATCAATTCCTATATTGATATGCCCTCATATATATATATATACGCTACTTTCATAGGCTACCCTTACAATATTGATGTGCCCTCAGTTCTTCGTAAATATGACATTTACGACACCGGCAAGTCTATTGAAGCCAAGCGAGCTTCTGATGAGAGTAAACAGAGTGAAGAAGATGATGAAACAGACTATGGTAAGTCATACCGAACCTCCATTTTGAAATATTAATAATTAGCCGTCCTTGAATTACCCTATCCGCATTCCGCAGCAATTCTTTTAACGCGTGCATGCAGATTCAGTTCAACTTTAATTTTATAGCCTAGCATATAGCTTTCATTAATTTTAGCAAGAGTGATTTTTTTGGCCCTATAGAACGCTTAGGAAGTCGCGCACCTTGTGCTTCTGACGCCTGATCTAAGGAATAAAACGATCCACCTTGGCAAGGCCCCACTAAGATTTAATGCAATGGATTTACCAACAAACCAGTTTGACAAGAGAGATCGCTAAGACATGCAATCGGGTTTGATTTGGGCATCGAAGCTACGGCTACGATTCGTGGCATGCAGGATTCCATTAGTATAGGTAATAGTATGGTTTCGAGTGCAATTTGGAAAAAACATGCACGAGTGAATTTTTCAAAGACTCAAAATAGCACGAGTCCGAAGGACGAGTGCTATTTTGGGTCTTTGAAAAACTCACGAGTGTATGCTTTTTTCCAAATTGCACGAGAAACCATACTATTACTTGTTAATAATATACATGAAAATGTTCGAGACAAACACACGAGTATTTCTTGTATTTCTTGTCCCTATGTACATTTTGTTGATCAATTTTTCCTTTATATTGAATATTTCCTTTAGCGACGTTATATTTCTTAAATATTTTGTTGTGAAACCATTGTTTTAACGTTAAAAAGTCGCGAAAATCCAAATTTCCGTTTTTGATTTCCGTCGCCATCTTGGTTGTTTTGTTTGGGGCAAGCATTATATTTTTCCCGCCAAAACGTAGCTCAAATTTGATTGGCTGATATATTTATGACAGCCAATCAGATTGGTCTGTTACAAATTTTTGCACTGTTGTTACAGATTTTTGCACTGTTGTTACAGATTTTTGCACTGTTGTTACAGATTTAAGACATGCGATCGGGTTGATTTGGTCATCGAAGCTACGGCTACGATTCGTGGCAGAATGTTTATAAATCCAAGAGACTGAAACTCATGAGGTTTATCAGAACTAGCCGACCGATATCGTAGGATGTTCGGTCACAGCCGAATGCGCTTCGTTTACGCCACCTCCCAGCTTATTGTAATTGTTTTAATCGTGCGGTTAATCCGTGATATCAAACCCATAATCTGAAATCAAGCTACAATATTTCTCTCCAGGAACATACGAACATACTGATGAAAGTCATCGTGATTATGAACGAGAGTATTTGAATTGGAATTGGCGAAGCTATGACCAATCAAACGGTAAAGATACGAATCAAACTTGCAATGTGGATGGTTTGGTTCAGACGAGGAGAACGAACGAGACGTCTGCACTTTATTCAGGGTGGGGAAGTCGGGCCAAGGCTGTGCACATCTCCTCTTCTCCTCTGGTCTTAACCTGTAAACTCCGTGTCAAGTAACTCGTTAGTTTTCAAAACAAGTAGGCTCGGCAATCGATCTGCATGCGTAGGAGCAAATGCCGAGCAAATGCAAATTTAGATCGGTATTTCACG